TCAGTCAAATCAAAACATGACTTAAATAACTGTCACACAGCTTGTGCAGTATAATCCAACTCTCATTTATCCATGTGTGTGCTCAGAACTTCCCAAACATATGCATTTTCACTAAAACCTTACTATATAAAATACTCTGCTTATACAGTCTGATGGATGGACAAGTAGCACGCCTGAACAAGTGCATGGGTTCAAACTCTGCTCAGTCATGCACTTACCCTGGTATGCTACTCATATGTGGAAGTGTTTTACATAGTAAGGCATGTGTTTGGAGAGTACTGAGCATACAACTGGATAAATGAGGCTTGGATTAGGGTCAGGACACATGCTGTGTCTTTAATCGCTTGGTAAATGCAAAGTTTTGTCTGAAGTTGCTGAGCAACAATAACCAGCACTGTATCGCCCACTTCCCAGAAACCCTGAGTTCGGAGCTGATCTTCTTCCAGGCATTGTTTTGGAAGAGCATATCCCGCCTAAGGTGTTGCCATGGGACAGATGTAAAGCTCTGAGCAGCCCCACACTAATATGATCAAGTTTTCATCTATATTTATCATATACAAATATTTACAGAGGAAAGAAAAAAGACTTCTGCCAGGTGTGACTGGTTGTTCCTCATCATCTGACGTGTTGCGCTTTGCTCCCTTCCAACAGTTGAGCTTAGTTTATCTCAGGGGGCAGCTGTTGCACCCTAAAAAACAGGTGCTTTAGGAAGCTTCACTCTCACATTTGCACGTGTCTAGATTGAAAACAGTGGATTTTAGGATGCAAAAACAAGGTATGTATACAGTTATGAGAGTTTGTAGAGGAATGTTTTGATATAGTTTTGCTGTTGTTCACCATGGACCCCTATGACTTCAAGTTACAAGAACTTTCTCAGTTTTTGGATTCTTCATTCATCGTGAAGGTATGGTATGAAGGTAGTTTTCCTGAGAATTTAACAGAACACAGAGTGATAACTGATAACTGCATATATAACTGATACGCAAATGATCATTTTGTGGGTGGCATATTCCTTTAAATCAGTGGTTCCAGTTTGATCCAGCCACAGGGCCCAGATTTCTCCTTAGTCATTAGTTCAAGGTCCACACAGTTTAATATATTCAGCGTCATACTTGCATTTGAACATGTCGTCAAGGTAGTTTGCTGTCTCTGTTAAGTAGCTGTCTGTTCGTCGCTCACTCTACAGCAGGAAATGGCACTTGAAAATAAAAGCTCTTTTCTTCTTTACAAATTTTTGTCACGTTAGCGAATCACTTGTGGTCCATTGAGAATGGACCCGCGACTCACCAGTTGGGAACCACTGCTTTAAATGATTACTCCCACACTGCTCCTGGCATGACTCTGGTCAGTAGTAATTCAATGTATTTTCCATAACTGACTTTCTCTTCTGTGGCTCCCAAAATTATTCAGACTTCTATAAAAAAAACATGTGATTAAGAAGATGAGAATCGGATTTCCCTTTAAAGCTGCTAAAATAGGATTGGACTAGTAAGCTTTTTGCCATTGACTCATCTACACTGTAACATAGACTTCACATTAAAGAGTGATTATGAGTCAAAATGCTGATTCAAAAAATGAACAAGAAGAACATCGTGCTGCTGACTAATGTTCAGTGTGTGGATGAGAAACAGTAAAAAAAGGATGACAGCAGCTCCTTCCATTCAGCGCTCTACCTTCAGACTGTTTCCAGTAGGTGATCCCCACAGGGCTGATACTGTAGGATTGAGAGGCAAGGTTTTTGAAATGGACCACCACCCTGTCACCAGCCCGGGCTACGATCACAGGACCCTGAATACCTGCAACCAGAGGACATGACACATATACAGATGATCCATTAATCTGAGGATACATGCTTGGAAAATATTACACTTTATGTGTGTTAGAAAGTCATGCAAACACAAGATTTGGCCATAGCATCATCTTTAAATCACTCTCTTGACTGTAAAACTACTTTAAGTGCCATATTTGTTTGCAAAAATATTTATTGGATTGGACGGTAATAATATTTACCATTAATACAAATGTGATAAAATGACACAAACCGTGTTAAATATTTGAGAAAATAGAGAATAAAAAGAGGAGACCTACCTGTCCATGGCGGCCGTTTCTTGGGAGTAGTGTATGTGGAGTCTGTGTACTCCCTGTAAACAGCTTTGATGTATTTTTGTGGAATATCTTTGGATCTTCTCCTAAAATAAATGAATAAAATACAGACTTTAAAACAAATCAACCAATCAAATAATTAGAAAACAGCCGGAAACACTTAAAACCCCTCTGAAATCAATCCTAACCATCTTAGATAGTTGTAAATTTTTCTTTTCTTTTATCAAACAAGGTATTTTTATTGATAATTCAATAAGATACACAAAGCATGAACAAACATAGAGCCAACAAGGACAGAAATCAACCCCAACCACCCACAAACCCACAAACAGAGAGCCAGACCAGCAAAAGGAAATAAAAATAATAAATAAAAATGAACTAATTTGAAAAATATATATACATAAATATAAAAAAGACAGAAAAATAATTAAACAAAAACAGTCCATGCCGTCTAAATGCCACATGAGTGGGTTGCTCAAATCAAACAAAGATATATTCACCTTTGCTCGGACGCTGGGTCATCATCATCCAGGTGGACGTAGTCCCAGCCGATTTCCACAGCAGCTACATAATACTCTCTGACAGCAGCGGCGGACTGTTGTGGCTGCTGCCCGGCCGGGAAGCAGAGCAGCAGCGGCGGCGGCAGCAGCAGCACAAGTATCGCGGCTCTCATGGCGGTCAGCTCCATCGTGTCCCGGGTCACACTCTGTCCAGGATATGCTGCTCCTTCTGCGGGCTGAGACTTTTAAAGGGTCGGGGGTGGGGAGAGGGCAAGTTACAGGGAAGCTGAGGTTGCACGTGTGGGCGTGTGTTGGTTGGAGTGTGTGTGGGTGAGATTGCGCGCGCTCTGCTGTGATAGGATCAGGTCCAGTAAATTAGATACATAACTTCTTTGTAATCTTCTGCCTTTTTGTCTTCAGTCTTTAATTATCTATGCGCTTGTTCTTGCTTTTTGTTTTTGTCTTTAAAATGCAATTTTAATTTTTTTATATTTTATTTTTAATATCTTCCAGTGAACTTGTAAAGTAATGTGATTGCCGTGGGTCTGCACTCATGCACATGTGGAAAAAGGCACCAACACCTACAATGTACTGTACATATGAAACAGTAGGCTACTTGGGCCAAATCCACTTTTTAATAAGTGCTATATATAGTTATATTAGTAAGGAACAACTTTAGGGTCGCCAGGTTGTGAAAAGTTCTGTCTTGTGTTTAAATTGCTCCAGCATCTGTAATCTGTACAGCCCTTTGGTCAATCCCAGTTGTTTTAAATGTGCTCTATAAATAAAGTTTGAGTTGAGTTGAGTTGAGCATGACACTGGCTGGATCATCTGGATAAAAAGTAATTGTATTAAATCAGTTTACTGACAACTTGTTAACAGTGTATCCACTTTAATTATCCTTATGATTTAAAACAGTACCTGACACCATATATATCCTCATACTCACTAAGACATACTCATCAATCTTATTAATCTTATCTTATTAACTAATAAAGAAATTGGCAGATGTGTCTTTGAATTCAAAGCTCATTCTGACTGGAATAATTTGCCCATCAACATAAGCCCCTCTTTAGAAACTTATTATCCTTTCTTTAAACATCATGTTACTGTTTTTGTTGGTGGTGTCTTCCTGTCCTCTTGTATTGTGAGGCATGATGCTACTGCTGTTATTATTATTATTATGATTATTATTGTTATAATTATATTGATGCTCCAGATGTCCCCTTTATTATGTGTTGTGGGCTTATGGGAATGATGTGGGGGTGGGTCGGTAAATGTGTGTTTCATGTTGTGACTGTGTCCATTGTAAAGAAGTGTGTTGCATGTTTTGTTTTGGACAAAAATGAGATGGTTCATCTCAAGGGGCTACCCGTTAATAAACTTTATGACATTTAAAACGGCACACTTGATCAATACTTTAAACCAAGAGAGATGTGACTATTGATTGTTAGAGTGACTATTGTCAACATTTATATGTGCATTATTACAGTCACATGACTTGTTATAAACAGTGTTGGGTAGGTTACCTTTGAAATGTAAAAGGTTACAGGTTACTATGAACCCTGTTAAACATGTAATATGTGATGTAGCCTAACTATCAGTTATTTTGTCAATGTAATAACTTACGTACATTTGATTACTTTTTTGTGTAATGTTTTAAACTTGGCAATAAAGTGGTCCAGTAATAGGTTATGCCAAAAGAGGCATTCCTGCATGGTGACAAGATGCAATGTAACTGATTGTAATGACATTTGTTTTGTAATTTAGGCACATGTAACTAGTTATGCCTCAACATTGGCTATTACTGGGTTATAATGGATGATTCATCAGTGATTAATAAAGCCATTAGTTACAGTTTATCAGCCTTTTTATAAAGTGTGGCTTCTTTGAAAGCTGTACCTTTGAGTGCAGTGAAACATAGTGCTTCTGGCTTTGTAAATAATTATGTAATAAACTGTAAGATCTAAACCAAACTGTGACCACGATTTAATGAAATGACAAACTTTAAAAGCTCTTAGCTGATTATGTGGTGCATTAAGATTGTATTACATAACTAATGGAAAATAACTCGCACACATTGGACAAATGTGATGTAAATTGCAAAATTTAGAGCCACTTACTTAATTTAGGATTGCACTATTTGATGCCCTGGGAGCGGGTTGCAAGATAAAATGGGAATCCCAAACCAAAAATGGTCGAAGGAAGTGACGCAAGGATTTCCGAGGTTGTCGTTACTCAAACACTCCTGGATTTGAGAAAGGCCTGTTTTTCTTACTATGCTTCACTGCCACCCTGTGGTGAACAAAGGTACTGCAGTACATCTGCATTTAGAGTTGGACTGATGAAGAGGAAGGTGTTCATTAATCCTGACAGTTAAAAACAGTGTACAATAAATGGTTTCAGCATTTTAATGCAAACATGAAAAGTCTCGTTTATAAAGGATGTGTGAACAAATTAAGAAACAAACATGACACATTGTTAAAAACGTATAAAACTCATTTAAATAGTAAAAACAGAAGCAAAACACAAATAGCAATACATCACACTGAAAATAAAGAGGGAGAGCTTTAAATAAAAAATATCAAATTTGTACAAAAATGGGGGGAAATAGGCTCATGACAATGTGTCTTACAATAGATGAGCTCCAGGAACGTAATAAAATCATGTGACAAAAAAACTGCCACTTACTATCAGTATGCATGTGCAGCCAACGGTAATTTGATAATCAGTGTGTGTATAACAAGGCTGAACACTAAAACTTTAAACTCAAACTCAAACTTTGCATAAAAAACACAAGAAAACATATCAATCTCTGCCGACACAGATCTGCAGGATCTTATCACAGTGTCAGTGAGTTGACCTCTATGATCTGCTGCAGGATGCTGTCCACGTCGGTGGTCTCCATGCTGATGCCCGCCAGGTCCAGTTGGGGCAGGAGGGCCGTGAGAAGCACCACCACGTTGTTCCGGATGCTGCGCAGATTCTCCTGTGATGATCTGATTAAAGAACAGCTTCATTATTAAAACTATTAAACATAGCAGCCGTTTAGGTGAAACTCTATTAAGGGGAAATTCACATTTTATAACTTAACATATGAATGAGGACATGACTTAAAGGTCCAGTGTGAAGGATTCAGGGGCATCTAGTGGCAGAAATGGTGTGGGCGCCACAAGCCATTTATGTCTACATATGGAGTCAGCCATGTTGTTTCTACTGTAGCCCAGAACAGACAAACAAAACATAGGCACTAAATGGGGCCATTTGCATTTTCGCATAATGTGGGATTTGTACTTCCGTGTCGAATCGAAGCCGTACCTATTGTGAAGGCTCTGCGTTGACATACAACCTACACCATACGCTACACTGAACCCTATGGTGTAGCCTGATGTGCACTTTCCCAGAAATGTAACTCATTTTTGTAAGCTCAAACCATTTCCCTCAGTGGAAACAAAGCTTTCATTTACTTTAATTTCACATTTAAGACATAACAAAATTGTGAAGACAATAAAGCCTCCACAAAAATAGCATTTTAAGTCTTGTGTGTGATTTATCCTGGCTTCATATGAGCAGAGGAAATCTCCGCTTGTCACTAGGCTAATTTATACAGTGTAAAATGCCATAGGCTTGTGCTAATAACGTTAGCATGTTATATATGTTTGGAAAACCTGTTTAATATAAGACAGTTGTTTTGTTGGTGAACCTTGAGAGTTGTAATAGAGCCGAATTCTGTAAGTCACTTTTGCTAAATGTTGCTGTTGTCCCTGGTTTCATATGAGTAGAGGAAAAGTCTGCTAGCTGCTAGGCTAATTTATACAATGTAAAATGCCATCGCCTTGTGCTAAAAACATTAGCATGTTGTATTTGTGGGGAAAATGTGTCCAGATAAAGACAAGTGCTTTGTCTGTAAATGCTGCAAGTTACAGTGAAGCAGATTTGTGTACTTATGTTTGAAATGGTCTCTATTAAGACATGTTTAATGTGTGTTTAGAATCAACTAAACTTTACAGCACTTCACAGAAACCCTGCCACAGACTAGTGTTTTGGAGGTGTAACTGCAGAGTGCTTAACTTGTAGTGACAGTAAATTAAGTTACAGACACTAACATTTGATTCATTTTTACTGCTATTCATTACCAAAATCTTTTTTAAAAAACAAAAAAGCTAGTAGTGAAACCACTTTTTTCAGTGTCATGAACCACTAGAATCTGTTTACTAAAAAAAATTACCCAAAAGTTTAATTCACCAAATTGTTCAGTGCTTTACCAAAACAGTTACACACACTGAACTAAAACACGGCTGAACATTTAGTTCATCTCACCAACTAGTTCAACTGAGAAGGGAAAATGTAATTGGATAAAGATATCATTTGAAAGTCCTACCTTATTATGCACCTAATCAATAAGTACCTGGTTCAAACTCAACCTGATCGCACAGAAATACGTGAAACGCCGTTTCTAGAGAACTTGCTAAAATATCTGAAATGAACCATCATGCCTACTTTTTCTTAACATATTTCATCTAGGTGCAGTGTCATTACTAGTTCAGCTTTACTAGACATTTGATATACTCAGTAGATGTATCTTTTTACGACCCTGTTTTACAACAAGCCGCAAAAAACCTACCGTCCCAAAAACGCCGTTTTTAGAGTACTATCTAAAATAACTACGATTAGCCAATATCCTTGCTTTTTTTCTTAACATAGTCCATCTAGGTGCAGTGTAATAACTACTTCGGCTTTACTAGATATTAGATTTATTCAGTAGATCTAGCTTTTTACAACCCTATTTTACATGCCGCAAACGAACCTACTGTCCCAAAAACGCCGTTTCTAGTGTATTAGCTAAAATATCGAAAATTAGCGGACATCTTTACTTTTTCTTACCATAGTTCATCTAGGTGGAGTGTAATAACTCGTTCGGCTTTACTTGATATTAGATATATTCAGTAGATATATCTTTTTACAACCCTATTTAGAGCCCTACTTTGCAAATCAGAAGAACTACAACTATGTTGCTGATATGTATCAAACTGCATGGCGCGGTCCCAGGGAATTGTAGTTTTTTAAAAATCTAAGTGTTTTTCCCAGATTTGGAAGTTGTAAATATTGAATTGAGAGTACACTGTGGACTTTAAGGGGATGGTAAACACATTTGTGAAATCAGATTTTAAATATCTAATTTCTAAATGGGTGAAAATTAATTTTATCCATATTTTATCCATATCTGACAGCACCCACAGTTGTTGACTACACTCACATGATAGCTGAGGTCAAGAGCTCTCTATAACAGTTGGTCCCATGTCTGTACCCCCTTTCGTTGCTGAGTTATAAGCCCTCAAACATGCACTGAGGTCAAGGTTCAAAGGTCAATGGCTGAAAGCAGGAGCCATGTAGAATCTTCATACTGACATATGTTACTCTCCAGGTTGAGACCTTTCCAATGATGTATTTGGTTTAGCTCTACGACAAAGTTTAGATTTTTTCATTTTTTGGACACAAGCCATGCCAGGTGTAGTTTCAGAGAGCACTTTGAAGGCCCCGTGTATAAAATGAGTTTTGTTTGTTTCTTTGCTTGTTTTTATCTTTTTTACTGTAGATAGTTACTAAAATGAGTCATCCTCAGACAATACAATACTACTAAAAAGTAAAACCAATAATAACAATAATGAAATAAGCAAAAATAATATTAAAATCATATTGAAATGTTAAAATCTATTTACAGAGTGGAATGGTAGCCTAATAGATAACTTAGATAATATTTATTATTGTTTAGACACTTTATTATTGCTTAGATACTATTTAGCCTATTATTGTATTTACTTTTAGCATGTTCTACTTTTGAGTAATTTCCGAGAAGTTATGATAAAAAAAATAAAAAATTACAGACTATAGGAGACAACCTCTTCAATGTCTCACGTCAATTAATTAACACGATTTGTCGGCTTTTTATAATGCCTCTTTTTTTTTTTTTTGCTGCTGTCTCCAGTTGAGAGTGGTGATTTGCTAAATACATTCTACAATAATAATTAGATTAACATTTGGTCTATAATATTGTTGGCTATATTACGCATTTTAATAAAAAAAACGGAAGAATAAAAGAAATAAACACCGAAATAATTACTTTTTTTTATTGATACTCCTCTCTGACACACACACACACACACACACACACACATTGAACACGCGATTGAACGAATGAATGAATGAATGAATGAATGAATGAACATTGGAAGTGGTTCAGCCGCAGTCCCGCCGGCTGGCTCACATTGAGATTACATTTGTTTTTTATTACTAACAAAATGTTTTATATTGACCGTATGAATGGTTTCGTTTTCAAATAAATATTTGGAAACGAAAATATGCTTTGGTGTACTTTTACAGAGTTTTGCAATATGTATATAGCCTACCTGTATCAAAATGTATAATTTTCAGCAGCGGTTTGTGTGACAGCTGCCACGGTCGGACGTATAACCAGCGGGGCAGCCGTTCTGTGGCGCTGGCTTGGGGTCCACTCTCCCCTGGTGGAGTGGAGGGTGGCCGGGTTGCCAGGGGCAGACGGCTCCATGTGATGGTGTTTCCTCTCTGGTTCTTCCGTGCTCAGCCTTATTTTTATCTTCTTATTTATTTATTTATTACTGGCGTTTGGATTCAGTTACGGCAGACGGATGGCAATCTGAAATGGAATGAAGCCCACAGACGGCGGACAGCAGCTACAAAACAGTAGTGGAACGCGCCCCATCCGCCCACAGCACAATGCTCTTAAAGCCCTACGCTATCAAAAGCTGGCAAAATACATTTATTTTATTTTATGGCCTTGACATTAACCTGTCATATTGTTGAGTTATCAAGGACACTTCCGCGTTTTTGTGTGTATACAGGAATGTTAAAGATATCATTGAGGAAAACGAGGTTGACGTGACGTGATTGAATCAGGGAATCCGTGTGTCCACCACGGGAGAGGACCCTAATTGACATTACATTGGCATTGTTTTCGTGGTGGCAGCACGTAATTTCAACCCATTACGTGCTGCCACCACGGAATGCGGTGTTAAGAGGTCGTGGTCATTTCACGTATTTCTGTGAGATCAGGTTGTTCAAACTTGGGGTGGGGAGCCCTTCTGTGAGGAGTTTGCATGTTCTCCTTGTGTCAGCGTGGGTTTTCCAGGTTCACAATCCAAAGACATGCAGGTTAAGTGGTGACTCTATATTGGCTGCAGGTGTGAATGGTTGTCTGTCTCTATGTGTCAGCCCTGTGATAGTCTGGCGACCTGTGCAGGGTGTACCCTGCCTCTCACCCACTGTCAGCTGGGAGAGAGGCAGGAAATAGCACCAAATATTTTGGTGTATGAGGTATGTCCTACTCTTTTGACCTTAATGTTCACGAATGACACCACACTAGCTTTGTATGAGTACCTAATTTTTCATCAGTCAACAAATATGTTCGTCCAGTGGTGCCTGAACACTGCCTGTCTAGAATACACACCTGCTGTCTTCACAGGCCTCGCTGTCACTGGCTATCATCTTGCTCGCAGTCTCTGTCTTCTTCTTAGATATGTTCTGCTCAGGCTGCTGCTCCTTCTGCTCACACACAGGTCTCTGACCCAGGACCACCAACCCCTGACGTTCTGCAGCCTGGGTCGGGCTGCCTGATGAGGTGGAGCTCTGATGCAAAGATAGAAAGTAGAAGATTAGTTGGAGTTTGCTTTCTTTTAGGATTAAAGGGATAGTTTTGATCTTTTGAAGTGGGGCTGTATGAGGTTCTTATCCATAGTCAGCGAATTAGCTACAGTAGATGGCGGGCGGCACGCTATCAGTTTGGAAAAGCGGGAAGGAGTTGCAACATGGCAACTAAGCAAAGGACTGCTTTTGACTGGGGCAGCGGCATCTAACTGCTTTAAACACAATGACACAAACTAATGGAGGCAGCTCCTGTGTTCAGTGATGTTGAGTCACTGTTTCTCTCAGTGCAATGTGGCTTTAAAGAGAGCAATATAATGGCTTCCGTTGGAAATCGCTATCTGACGGCAAGGTAAAGCTGTGAAAATAGTCTTAATATAGAATACACTTAATGATTTTTTTAGATTGCTAAACATATTTTGCTGCTGCCCATGTCTAGAGCAGTACTTTCTTTGCCTCTGTGTTTGTGATTTATCATTAGAATGAGCCTAAAACAAGGGCGCAAGTTTCAACATTGTTGGGGACACATATTAAACAGAGGCCTGAGGGTCCTCCCCAATGAAATTTTGAGCATCAACGCCCCAGTTCCTGCATTCTGGTGAAGTTTTACGCACTAATTTATGGTGGTTATGTCTTTCATTATGTAAAGGAAAACACTACATTCAGACGACAGGTGACGATTCAAAATATAAGAACAGGCTATGATAGAATATAATGCAGCGAGGCTTTCAGGCATTCTGTATGTTTACATACTTATTTTCCTGTAGGTCAACTTTCCTTCTTTAATGTTTTCTCCGCTGAGTCAACACACATGTAGGTGAAGTTTACTTATCGACCCTCCTGTGTGTCTTAAGTTTGATGACGTAACCTCTTTTAATGAGCACGTGTGGCACCTATCCACATTAATTGATTTTAATTTATTCATAAACCCCTGGACTTTAACAGTCCGTATGTGTTTCAGGAAGATTTCTGATAATGTTGATAACTTTCTGCGCATTAAATCATATTCCACCTATCTGTGCTCTCTTAAAAGTCCAGTATAAAGTTATATTTTGAGAATTTTTTTTTGTGTAATATTACGCAAATAAACTTGCAATTTAAGGAGAATCAAGTCATAATGTTTCAAGATGTATTATGTAATTGCTCTGCATTCTAGCATCTCCTTTGGACCGTCTAACAGACAAAGAACCCCATGTGGGACACTCTGTGGCAAGGGGGCATGTTTTTTTTTGGATTATAGGACCGTTGAAGATAGATAGGAACGGTTGGAGAAAGAAAGGGGGGAACTTGCAGCTAGGGGTCCATACTGAAAAATAAAATGCACTGTCCCTTACTGAATCAATACGAGACGTGATTTGTCCTGTATGGGACATGACCCTACCGTCCATATGCAAACCAACACTCTTGACCTAAAATACTGTGTATAAATTCTGCTGACCTCAGCCGTGTCCGTCTGGCAGCCGACCTCTCTTCCTGCTTTGGATACTGGCGGAGTCACCAGCGCGCCGTTTGACTTCTCAGCGCTGCTATCAGGTGATGTCATCGTCCCTTGAGTTGTCTTTGTGATTTCCAGACCTAGAAGCCTCCGCAGCCTCTGGGCCTCTTTCTCTACCCAAGCCAGCTTCCTCATGTTAGCTTCCCGTTCAATCGTCTCTGGAGGCGGTGGTCTGCTCAGTGTCACTGTTGGTCGACTCAGAGGAGAAACCATCACAGTCTGGGTGGGGGGCAGTGGGTGGGTCCAGGTGAGGTTGGTGAGGGTTCGCTGTGATGTTTCACCTGGTTTCTCTACTTGGCCGATACTGTCCTGGCCGGTCGTCTTACAGGACAGTTTTTCAAATATATTTGTTTGTTTCTCAGGGTTCGTCTCTTCTGCCATGTTTTCTGGGACAGACTTTTGCTCCTCCCGAACACATAGCTTCTTTTTCACGCAGTAAAATAATGACCCTGGTTTCCTTTTGAAGCTGCAAAGGACAAAAACTGGTCAGTTTGTTTGTTTACAGTGTGAAATTAACTTATAGACACTTTAACATCCTTGAAACAGGGCACCCTTCACACTCTGACAAAATCCCAATTTTGCGAGACCACCCTGTTAACATAGATGCGTGCCCCCGAGCAAAACGTTTTATTTTTGTTTTTTTGTTTTTTTTTACTGCGGTGAAAAGGTAGATTTTGAAAGGCTGAACATCACCAAATGTGAACTGCAGCAAAATGTTGTTAAAATGAAAGCATGTTGTGAATTTTGTCTTAGGGACTGTGGACGATGTTTGTGTCCTTTAAAAAAGGGTTAGGGTTAGCTAACCCTCTCCTAAGCCTAACCTACGTAACGTCATGCTAAGTACGTAATGGTTAACGCCTAACCATGATTCTTATCCTAAACCTAACCTACTTAACTTGTCCAAAGCTAATCTATGTAACTTTGTCTAATCCTAACCTACAGTACATAACTTTACTAACCTAACCTACGTAACTTTACTTTGCTAAACCTAGCCTATGTAACTGTACTTTACTAACCTAATCTATGTAACTTTATGCTAAATACTTACAGTTAACGTCCAACCATAATTCTTATCCTAAAACTAATCCTCTTACCTTTACTTTTCCAAACTTAACCTACATAACTTTACTTTCCTAACCTACGTGACTACGTAACGGTTAACACCCAACCATGATTTGTATCCTACACCGAACCTTAGTAACTTTACATTAAGTACGTAATGTGACGATGCCATTCGTAGGGCAATAATTTGTTAGATATCATATGAACTGCTACATTTTCATAAAATGTAAGATATGAAGCGTTGTGTGAGATTAAATATATTATTCATGTGTCTGAACTTGTACACAGTCAACATGCAACATAACCCACCAAAACATGTCTGCGTTGTCCTCCTCTGTTTCCGCTGACTCCATGTTTGTGTCTTTTTCCTGGAGCCTGTGATCACTCGTCTCATTTTCCACATGTGTGACTTGTGCTTGGTCTTTAGTGACCGTGCCTTTTCCAACAGGCCTCTGTTGTGTGTGTGTGTCGTCAGCTGTGAACGTACTTTGCACCGGTGCATCATCGTGCATGCGTGTAACTGTGTCTGCATCTGCCAGGTGATCTACGTTTGTCTGATCTTGTTCCTGTGTGTTTTCCTCTGTGTGGTGACGACCTGCTGTTCTTATGTGTTCAGGTGTGTATGTGGACTGGAAGGTGGGCTGGCTCGGCTCTGATGAACTGCGTGACAGGATCTGATGTTTATCCGCTTGGTCCTTGAACTCACACACCTGCAACACAAACAACCAAGCACATGTACAATACACATAATATATGCAGATGATATGTAGTAAAACAGCACACTGAAACCTTTAGACAGAATAGTTTCAAACTTTTCACTCACTTCCAATGATTTTTCTCGTTTTCTGCTTTTGGAATGCTCTCTGCAGGAAAAACAAACAGATTAATGAGTTTAGAGGGGCAGATACTCAAAATATGGTGAGGTTTGACTCCAAATTATACATTTTTATTCGCCTGGAAACCACACGAATCAGTGACCTCATGTTTTATTGGCTCTGGCGGATGTGTCTGGTCCCCCTCTGAGTCAGACAGATTTTTTAGCTGAGTGGCTCTGGCGAATCACAACCGTTTATCTAATATGGGGCGAGTTTAATATGATGATTATCTAATAGCATCCAGATGGGATTTTGGTCTACGACGATTAATCGCACCCCTGAACTGAAAATTAACCAAGAGGTTTCAGACTTATGCTGCCTTAAAATGAAATCAGACATATTGTAGGCTGATGGGGTGGCAGGACAGTAAAACGAAACATGCATGATGATATGTTGCGATGGTGATGTTGTGTTGTTTACAAAGAATGGAATAAAATATAATCGGTAAAATGATTTTGTGTTTACTATGTCATGTATTTTTTAGTAGCCTAGTGTACAGTAATTGTCCAGGTCGCCCATCATGGAGGATGGCAAAAACTTAAGATATTTCAACTATAAATGGAGATGCCATCTACCGTTACCACTGACAGTATTTTCCACCAGCCTCAGCTAATTTCACCGTCCTGCTCTCACCCACTAAACATTCCTGTTTGCTGTCCACCGTCTCTCTGATTCCACGTGAACACAGCATAACTTGCATTTGCAAAGTGGACTAACAATGTCACTTCAGTTTAGGGATGCCCCCTAATAGCTGACCAAATGTTAGTCGACTAGAGAGGTCATTGGTCAGCAAGATTTCACTGGTCGCTTAGTTGTAGAAAAAAAAAAATTAAACAAACATGAATCTCTATTAGGAGCTGCGCCTTGTCAAAATAAATCAAAACCTATATGACTGGGCCATGTTGGAATTTAATTTGGAAGGACAGACACAGGAAGAGGCCACACTCAGCAGTCAGACAGGAGTCACGCTACCAACCAATCATAACTGACAGATATCTTTCCCTTCTTCTGTAAATATTCAGTCTGTGGTAAATACAGAAAAGTTGATCATGTTAGTGCAGGGCTACCCAGAGCTTTACATCTGTCCCACGGACGATAGACCTACACATTTATAAACAGCACCTGCAAGAAGATCAGCTCTGCACTCACAGGCTAGTTAATAACATGTCGGGCAGGAATTCCAAAGTGTGGGATCATTTTGAGAAGGTGAAGGATGAACCCAAGGTGATATGTAAACTCACCTTCATTGGTCGACTACAAACATGACGTATCATCTGAAACATGGAAGTAGCTACATGCCCATTAGCCACTTAGCACAATCATTACTGCTTTGCCGACAGCGTCATTAACAGGCGGCTCGCTCGGTGTGTGACGTGCACTTGTAGATAAAATATAGGCCTATATTAATGAAGGTTCATTAGTACGGTTTTGTATTTCTCTGTAATGTAGCACAGTGTTAACAATGTTACTGATACTATTCTTTCTCACACCTTCAACTCAAACTGTTGTGTTGCCCCGCCCAAAATATATCATTTAATAATTAAATTAATATCGTAAACATGCGGGCGACTAGTCAACTAATGGCCCTAAATGACTACTATTGGTCGACTAGGAAAAATCTTAGTCGGGGGCAGCCCTACTTCAGTTGTTGAATTGGCTCTAACTTAATTTTACTCTTTTTGACTCCCAAACCCTCAGACACTTGAGATCTTAGAGGGTGTTACAATCACAGCCAATCAGAAAATCGGGGCAGGTATTTCTGATTGGCTCTTTTGTCTCCAACCTGATTGCTGGTAGGATTATTGATTACTAGGGAAGTAGGGCGGCACTGAAAATAAAAAGTAGGCACACCACAGCTATATATTTATAGTTTATACAGATCTGGATACCAAGTTTTATGAGCTTTTTTATGGTATTTTTAAACTTTTATGAAACTGGAATCTCACACTGTTAGTTAGTCTTTACTTTATTAGTTTACAACCTATCTATCTCGCTAATTTCTGCCAGATAAACAGTAGCTATCTAAGCTAGTTAGCTAATTTGATGATTCCAGGTACTAATAAGCCGGTCACATTTTATATCAGATGTTAAAAAAAAGTTTGGGGTTTTAAATGAACAAAGTGACTAAAAGAAAATCAACATAAATATTCTTTTGCATATGTGTGTAACAAGTCACCATGTGTTTTTCACTGTCAGTGAGAATGTAGCAAAACTAGAGACTGAGTCACAAGAACCGGAAATAAGAGCATGAAACCGACATATGGAAACCACAAAATGGCACATAAACCCACATACACACACACACACACACACACACACACACATACAGGAAGAGCAGCAGTGAGAAATGTCTGTCCGTGCGTAGACTCTCACACAGGCAAAGTTTGAGAGGTCTAAAGAACTGAAATGGGAATTTACTGTTTCTTGTGGTTTTTCTGGTAGCTGGGTGTTAACAGTTCCTCACTGTCTTCTGCTTCCTCTGGTGAAGAGCAGCTTCTGAAAGACAAGCAGACCAGGCTGAGCAACTCAACTACTGCTAAAATTCAGCTCAGGGCTTTCCTGTTACAGCCACACACACGCACACAGCCACTGGCCACCATGTTAATGCACATATAGATATCTTCAGTCCTACATGACAGCCTATCTAGAGAGGTTTTACATCTCACAAATCAATCAGAGAGATGAGCACGTGACCACCTATTTATTTCGGAGCACTGTGAGCCTTGTTTCTCAGCAGTGAAGAGTTCACATGATACGAGGACGAGAGAGATACGACAAAGGGGACGGACTTGAATTAGGGATGTTGTGGCTGATGGTCGGCTTCTTAACCTGTAAACCTCAGTGAGGCCCAGACATGTGACCGCTTAAAGCTACAGTGGTAACTTTTACAAAAATAATGTTGTGTCATATTTGCTGAAACTGTCACATTCCCACAGTAGAACATGAGATGAACAATCTGTGAAAAACATCATGGCAGCCGCGTCACAAACTTTCTAATGTTACGACTAAACAGTTCACCAATATTTAGACTGATATTTGATCAGTGCTGCCTACTACTGACACTCCATACTACTGCACACTTGGAACACTACAAGGAGACAGAGGAACATGATTTGTCTACTGTACCATTGTGTGAATATAGTGACAGTTTCAGCAAATATGACAAAGTTATTTTTATAAAAGTGACTTGCTGTTTGGGAAGGAATGGTTAAAAATCAATGCACCAGAAGAAGCTGAGATATCCTAACTGTAACACCTAGCGAACAAAGCACGAACTTTGTCCAAATATACTTTGAGTGACAACAACATTCAGGAAGCCTAGTGAGCCCTGATCAGACCTAAGGCTTACTGTTGCTCTGAAAATAGGCTGGCTGTGTGAAGTGTCACAAAAATAGGGCAAGGGCAAGCAGTTTTTCAAACAAACTACATTCTCAGCCTGTTCACTGACACAAGTTAGGACATCGTCATTGAGAAGTACGGAAACAATCTGATGTTCACTCGTTCACATCGCATCAAGTTAGGAATATGTTGGTGAAGATCCTCAGTCATCCAGGTCATGGTAATCCTAAGTGCTGTATAGTAGGCAACTGGACTTGCTTGAGTTTCTTAAAGACATTTCCTCTCTTCCAAGAGGCTTCTTCAGGTCTAACCGACTGGTGCCGAGTCACAGGCTTCAAACCCCGTGTTGTTGTGAATGCTCACAGAGTCATCAAGGTCACATGTGTGTTGCTGACCCACTCGGCCATCATCTTTGTCAGTAGGGTTACACCTGGACTCATCAAACCCTAATGACACACATGATGGTCTGGTGGGTCAAGCAAGTCCAGTTGCCTACGATATAGCTCTTAGGATCAGAGTTAGGAAGAACTGTAAGTGTTCTAGTATTGGTCAAAATCAAATGGCAACCTCCAGGGCTTGAAAATAAAGCCACCGTGAAGTGGCAAAAACTGCAGTCCCTCGAATGACCACTTGAGGCTGGCTCCAGAAGCGAGTTAACCCCCGTAGACCACCATGTTAAAATGCTCAACTTTACAACAGAAATAAACATGTTTACAGCATGGTACAAAAAACAGTTATAGCTAATTCCCCCTTCATGGCAACTGTGCAGGGGGTGAATTTTTATTTAACTCACCCGTTTACTTTCATCAAAGCTTAAAGTTAAGGGTGTAGCCACTTTGAGTGACAGGCTGTCTGTGAGGCGTCACCACAGCCTATGAATCAGCTCCACCCTTTGTCCAAATCGAGGACAGTGACGGCCAAAATGCTGAACTCAAGACTTCAAAATAAGAGTCCACAAACCAACGAGTGATACCAACTCAGTAGTGTTTTCCAATAGGACCTTCCTGCGTGGTATATGCCAGTGTCTCCACTCCATGCTCTTAGGTCATAATGCAACCTCTCCAACATCTCAACTCTTAAGTCCAATTCAAGGACAACAATAATCATGAATACACACCTGTAACGTGGATTGGGGTTCTGGCTGCAGTTCCAGTTTTCAGGAATCACACTATAATGATTTGCAGCGATTTTTCGCCACTTCAGGCATTCTTCACACTGTAACCACATGGGACCCCTGTAAATACAGACGTACATGTATGACAAGTGTCAGTATTATCATCATTTCTTTCATTATGTCTGTATATGTATGTCTGTTTATATTTGTAGCCCTTATCAAGTTCACAACGGGCAGCAGTGTAGGTTAGTGTGGAGGATAAAGTGTATATGGGTCAAAGGTGCTGCAGATGTCACATCAAAAATACAAGCCCGCCATAATGTCATCATTCTATTTGCAATAGAAAAGTAGTTTTGCTGCAAGGGGAACTCTTGATTAAACAGGAACACTTACAAAACAAAAATATTTTCTGTTGAAGCCCTGTTGAGTTCCTGGTTTTGCACAGCATACAAATAATGCTCAGTTGGTTATAACAGCTCCTGCCTCAGCATGTTTACTCCTCTTTGCTACTGTCATGAGAACAGATCAAGAAGCAGCGTCTCTCCTCTCTGGTGTCAAGCTTTGGAAAACAAAGTACCTACTTTCATTTTCAGTTTAATTGACAAGTTCCTACATGAGAGGGTTATCAACTGACTTGCACCTTCTTGGACTGTTACCAACATTATTATTAGTCTATAGAACGTGGACAAGTTATTTTACTCACTATGTGGTTTTAACGGTTTGATGTACTGATTTAGAGCCAGACAGACCAGATGAACCACAATCCTCTTTCAGTAGCACACAGAACACTCACTGAACATGTAGCTCACACTGAAAGGAACAGTTCACCCCAAAATAAAAAAACAAAAAATTTCCTCCCGCCTGCCATTTTTCATTCTAGATTGTTTTGGTGTGAGTGGCAGAGCGTTGGAGATATCGGCCCTAGAGATGTCTGCCTGGCTTGTGGTCCTCAACACGCCAAAAAATACATTTGAAAAACTTAACATTAATGTCTCTTTGGAGAAATCTTGACCCAGTTACTCAAGATAATCCACAGACCTTGTTGTGCGCAGCTTCATGTGGGAACTATTTTGTTGCTACCAAGCTAAACTCACCGACCGTATCACTGCACAGAAGGAAGAGTGCATCTACTCATGGACGAGAGGCTTGTGACAGCGCAAGATCTAAACATTAATGGTGTTCTCCTCAGCTGAGTCGTATCATTAGCTAGCTCAGTGGTGCTAGGTGAGCTAGCAGTAGATGCACGCTTCCCTCTTCGCGGTGATATGGTTGATGGGTCGAGTTTGGCAAAAGAAAATAGTTCCTACATGGAGCTGCTAACAACGAGGTATGTGGATTATCTTGAGTGGCTGGATTGTGTTTTCCGAAAAGAGACATTACTGCTAAGTTTTTCAAATGTGTTTTTTTTTTGGCGCTTTGAGTACCACAAGCTGAATGACGTCTAGTTCCATTATATTAGATATCTTGGCCGATATCTCCAACACTTGGCAACTCACACCCAAACAATCCATACATCCATCCATCCATTTTCGTCCACTTATCTGGGGGCCAACCTCTAGGTTGCGAAATAGCACTACAGGTAAGTGAAAATCTGATTTTGGGGTGAAGTGTCCCTTTGAAAGTACATTTTCTTTCAAGCACCTTATGAAGACACTTGTAGGTGAAAAGGAGAACTTTGTTTTCACTTTTAGCACTACAACTGTCAGATAAAAACAGTCAACACTCACTCGTCAGCATCATGCCCCTCTTCATTTACTTCCTTCTCTAGAGCCTGAAACTCTCGTTCTCTGGCCCTCTTCTCCGTCACCTCTTTCCAGTAGTCGTTCAGTTTTAGGCCCAGAGCGCCCAGGGTGAGTCTTGGGAGAAGAAAAAGACATTCAATTTTTTTAACTGTTTTTCCTAATATCATAAACACAACATCACAACTAAGAGTGTGTCAGGCATTAAATTCTTGACACACTAAACGAAAAGAACGTGTGCGGTCAAAATGACTTTTACTGTGACCAATTTCGGCTTCCCTGCAATAGAACGCTTGGCGCCACATATGCAGAAAAAATGAAAGAGGAAGAGTTGCATGAGTCACTGGTGCTACGTATCCTCTTAAGTTTGTAAACACTATATGTAGCAGTGCCCTTATCTGCTGCAGCATCACAGCCAGCTAACAACACCACAGTTCACATTAGCAGAAAGCCTCTTGTGTGTGTGTCTGGTTTTGTTTTTGCACGCGTGTGCTGTACCTGTACTCTTTGGTGTATTCAAAGTCTTGCTTGTTGTGAGCAGGTTTGAGAAAGTTACACTCGATGATGCCGATGACCCCGACTCCTGCCCTTTGACCTGAAGCCTGTGGAGAATTGGGAGGTGAGATTTGAGCAAAGGCAGATATCCTTCATACTGAATTTGGAGCAGAGCATGAAGACATACAGTGAATTAATTTTCCTCTACCTTCAGCTGGCAGCCCACTTTCTCATAGGCTTTAATGAGCCGGTTCCTGTGGTACATCATGATGCCATAGTGGTCTCTGTTTTTCGGGTTCAGCCCAAAGGTCACCTTCACCTTCTCTTTCTGGCAGACAGTAGTCAAGGTAACAGCACTGGAATAATATTAGGTAATACAAATATTGTGCAAGCTCAAGGTATCAGTGGTGAACAAACGCAATAGCTAAATTTATATTTTATGGTTGATACTGATTACAAGAATATAAATGCATATAAACTATAAAATAAATGCAAATAAAATTACAATTTTAAATGACAGGAAGTTGGTTTTTAACTGCTTTCGGTGCTGAACAGTTCTAAGTACTCTGCGCTACAGGCACACTTCAGCTGCTGCCAACTGTGGTTTGATGCTCAGCCCAAACAATTAGCTATTGTTACATCAGTGACATGACTCACCTCTGCCCCTGGTGTGATTAATAAAGTTATCTGAATCTGAATCTGAAGCTGTCCAAATCACAGACATTTCTCAGCATTAACACTGACTGCAGATGTAAACAGCATGATTTCATAGTTGCATGGCTTTTATCTTACCTCTGGTATACCTTGGTGGATTTGGGTGGCATTAAACATTTCGATCAATAATGTTAAACAAATTTAAGAGCCACAGTGTGTTACCATTCTGACCACTGGTGAAAAAAACAAAGAAAAACATTGTGACAGCCAATAGATTGGTGCATTTAAATCATGTAGAAGAGGTTCACATATATAGCCTAACTAACGTAAACTTTTAAACTGTATTGTCTGTAGTAGTCTCTAGAGCTTCAACGATTAGTCAGTTAATCGATTAGTTGATCACCAGTAAATAGAGCTACTATTTTGATAATTGAATTGTTTTGGTCATTTTTTAAGCAAAAAAGCCAAACATTTACTGGGTTTGTGCTTATTACGTGTGAGAAATTGATGCTTTTCTTTGTCATACACCATGAACACAAACTGAATAATTAAGTTTAGTTAAGTCATGGATTTTTGGACTGTGAGTCTGATAAATCAAACCACCTGAAGACGTCACCTTGCACCTTGCAGATACTCTATTTTCTGTCATTTTATTGAGAAAACGATTAATTGATGAATCCAGAAATGAATGGGTAAATTAATCAAAAATGAAAATGATCATTACGTGAACGTCTCTGCTGGGCCAAAGTAAAGTCGCAATTCAAATATTCTCCATGTGCCGTTCTTGAGAGGAGATGAGACAAACAAAAATCTGAAAGTGAAACGACAACACATTCTAAACTGATATATAAACCACACAATTTTCGTTTTCTCCTCTGATGCATCTGTTGCCTTGTCAGATCCCAGCAAAAGCAACTCTTCTGATTTATCTCCAACTTCCCACTTCCTGTTTGCACCTAAATAAAGGTACACATACAGGTAATACCTTGGCTTTATATCACACCCACACACCCACACACAGATAGTGTCAGGATACACTGAACTGGGGTTTGTACACATCATGCTCGATCAGTTTCAGCCTCTTCGACACCAGTTTAGCCAGAATCTTCTTCCCCCGCAGTATAATCTGTGTCCTCGGCTTCAGATACAAGATACTGAGGTAGGCCTGAGACACACACAGAAACACACAGAGAGATGATAAATTTCAAACACCTGCTTTTGATTTATTCTTTGGTCTGACAATATCTGCTAACACACATTATTTTCCACAAGAAGTAAACTGCATCTAATTAGAGAGTTTTAAGACTGTCAGATTAGAGATGAAATCTACAAGAAGCAATGTGAAAGGAAACTGGGGCAGAGTTACTACAAAACCTCAGACAGGTCTGCGATTGTGAAGAAGTACTCCAGTTAGTGCGTGAAACTGGCACACGAACACCTACACCCCGCCGTACACACTTCTGCATAGGATTTGTATTTGCTATGTACTGTAGAAGCTTACCACACATTAACCGCAACCACTACATCTCCTGTCCTGAATTTTACTCTTACCTCCATTTTAACTACTAACACTAAAATCACACAGACCAGTCCATACCCATTGAGTACAGCATACCATACCATGACTTAGTCATACCAAAAATTAGTAAAAAAACAAAAACCATTCGGCCACAGGGGGAGCCACAGCGATCGGTCGCATTTTAGCCATTTTTAAGCATTTTTCTGTTGTTATAGCGCCACCCAGTTGCCAATTAGAGTTAAATTTCTCCAGTCACCTTGAGGCGCCCTGTGATGAGCCATGCCCTCAGCAATATTCACTGCCTTATAGAAGCTCAGTTTTAGTAAGTTTTCCAACTTTTGCCAAGAGGGAACTTTAGATATTGGTCCCTAGATTATGTTCACCGAGTTTCATGCAGATCGGTCAAACTTCCTAGGAAGAGATTCAATTTAAGTGTTTTTCAAAAAATTCAAAATGGCGGAAAATCTATATAACCAGAAGGTATGGGTTCTACAGGCAAATTTGTTCCTCGTGAGGAGAGGCATCTCTGTGCAAAGTTTCATGTCTCTACGAAAAAGATATGCCCATTCAAAGTTTGCAATTTCAATCGGTTGCTATAGTGCCCCCCTTTGGCCAATTGATGTAATGTTGCTTCATTTGCATCCTCCCATGACCCTCTACCACTGTGCCAAATTTCGTGGAACAGACACACCCACAGACAGAGATTTCGTCATTATATAGTAAAGAAGATTGGCTTGAGTGAGCGCCTTCATCACCTCCCGCCTGGACTACTGCAACAGTCTACTCTATGGCTCATCTTCAAAAACCCTCAATAAGCTCCAGCATATCCAGAACTCAGCTGCTCAGCTACTCACCTACTCTCGACCCCGTGACCATATCACCCCTGTTCTCCATAAACTCCACTGGCTCCCATCTCCCAGAGAATCCACTTCAAAATCCTCCTCGTAACATACAAAGCCCTCAATAACTAGGCCCCACCCTACCTGTCTGAGCTCCTCCATCATCACTCTCCCACCCGCCCACACCGCTCTGCCGATGCCAACCTCCTGTCCCACCTCACCCGGACCAAGCACAAATCCTGTGGGGACAGGGCCTTCTCCATCGCTGCTCCCACCCTCTGGAACTCACTCCCCAAACCCATCCGAGACTCCCCCTCTCTCCATATTCAAACTCCTCCCTCTGAGTGGCCCTGAGACTTTCACACACTGCAATAACTTAATTTAACTTGTGCAATAACCCCATTCACCCTGACTGTATATATTCTGTTTGTGTAAATTTTGTTTACAATATATATGTGTATATATATATATATATATATATATATATATATTTATGTTTATGTTTGTTAATAATTCCTGTTTATTTAACTATATATTTGTTAATACTATTGTTTAAATTTCTTATATTTTCATGTATCTTTCCTCTCTTGCAAGGAGCACCTGTAACATAAATAATTTCCCCTCGGGGATCAATAAAGTATTTCTGATTCTGATTCTGATTCTGAAAACATCACTCAAGACTCACCTATTCAACGCTGCTTACAATCAGTGAAAGTTTCTTCTCCTCATTTTTTTTCTTTTTCTTTTTGTGTCCCTGAATTTGTAAAGCATCTTTGAGTGTCATGAAAAGCTCTATATAAGTATAATGTATTATCATTATTATTACTATTATTATAGAACTTGTCACAGCATAATATAATTGCATTCAACTTGAGGCGAGTTCAACCCAACACTGTAAAGATTACATTTGAACTTAGCTGACTCCAATCCTCCAGATGAATGACGGAGGTTTTCCGAGTGATTTGTTTTATTTTATTTTTTACTTTTCCTCTTCATGTCCTACTATTTTTTTTGAAGGACAGTAAACTAGCTCAGCGACATGGCCAAGCGCAAGTATGACGCTGAATTTATTAAACTGTGTGGACCTTGAACTAATGACGAAGGAGAAACGCGGACCCCGTGGCTGGACCATTTGGGAACCACTGATCTACAGGACTGAAAGGACATCACTAAACAAAAACCAGACCCAAAGATGTTTTGTTGCAAAAGCAAGTGGACATCCAAACCTCTCCTCTGTGTCTCTAGTGATCACGTTTGTCCAACTCACCCTGAGACTGTAGTGCATGTCTGGGATGTTATGTTCGGCTCTCAGGGATCCACTGTTCCTCAGACCCTTCCTCAGCTCCTCGATCTGAATCTCAGGCAAACGAAAGTCACTCACATCCGTCTGGAAGTCGATCTCTGGCTTGCCATCTTTGGCCCTTCAGGGTAACATGAAAGGGAGCGGTTGTTAAAGCAGGTAATGACACATTTTATACCACTGCTCTCAGATGAAGCTGCAAAAATAAAATCAGGTTTTCCAGTGTTAAAGCTACGCAAACTGGGTCCGAATGTGTCGAATGGGCCCCGGTGTACAAACCAATATGAGTTCTGGTGGAGTTCAATCAGCACATTCTCATTTACTCTGGCCAGTCTTCATGAGAGCAATACCGAGTATGTGATAATGATCAACATAGTGGTGACTCTCTTTGACTCCAATGTAAAGAGGAAGTGAAACAGTCTGAAAAACCCCTTTAACATGAACTGCCGCTCAAAGCGTGCTTTCACACCTGTAGTGCGGTTCATTTGGTCCAAGGGAAGAAAAAAAAAAGACACGTTATTGCATTGTAGTTTTGGTTTGGTTCCTGTTCACACTTATGTTTTACAAACAGACCAAGAGGGGAAAACATGAAGTTACACAGACTAAAAGGCCACTTGTTGATTGGACAGTGCAAACTGTGATCCTGCATCATCAAATCCTGACTGACAGAAGTTTATGCAGCTTTAATGTATCTGAGGTGTATATTTATGTTCTTTGAAGTCACAAAATGTTCAAAAAGAAATAACTGATTATTAGCATCAGCAGTATATATTTAGATTACAAAGTGCAAATCGACTACCAGGAAGGAAACGTCTCGTAAAGTAATGATTCGGAGCTTACTGCTGCCACTGTCACACCCTTTTTAATGGACTTAATAAACTGACAAAGTACACAGCAGGGGAAGTACCTGCGCCGATGTGCAAACATGTTACCACGGTTACCAAATTATTTGCATAAATGGGCTGAATACAGGGCTTTATACAGATCAGATATAAGATTACTTCCCAAAACATTTCATGATCAACAGATGGAGTTTTTAGTAGTTTAGCCTTTGAAATCATGCTGGTTGGTTTGTTTGCTTTCACACCACAAACCAACCACTTGGAAGCAGATAAGAGTCCACCTTTTCAGGCGATCTCGGTTTGCCTGGTCCGCACCAGGCTTCGACTGACAGGGGCAAATGGACCTGGGTTTGGTTTAACTGAACCAAACAGCTAAGGTGTGAAAGCACACCCTTGGTCGAGAGAACTATGCCACGAAGAGAGCAACAAAGAAAAGGGACGTCAAATCTTTACACTCAAATTTTCTCTGCACTTCATACAATGATGATGTTATGAGGCCTTGTGTCCAGATGTGTTCTTTTGCATGGATTTGTGTAAAAGCATGCTTAAACAAATATCATATGTGTGTGTGTGTGTGTGTGTGTGTGTGTGTGTGTGTGTGTTCATGTTTGTTTGCCTGTCTTTGTTTGAGTCTGTGTTTGCATATTCATCATTCACGTAATCATCTCACGTCAAGGGATGGTTCCAACATTTTGGAAAATATGCTTATTGTCTGTTACCAAAAGATAGATGAGTAGATCAGTTTCACCTTCATGTGAACAGCCAGGAGACGGTTAGCTTCAAATAAAGACTGGAAGCAGGGGGAACCTCTACTTTGGCTCTGTCCGAAGGTTACAAAGTCTGTCTACCAGCACCTTTAAAGCACACCTATATACTTGATAGTTGAAGTGTAAAAATGACAATTTGTGAAATAAAACATGGTACTAACTGTGTGTTAAAGGTGCATGGCACAGTTTTTTAAACTTAGCTATTTCAGTCTGCTTTCACTCTTCAAGCTAAGCCAACTGTCTCCTTGCTGTAGTTCATATTTAATGGACAGATACAAGACTGCTATTAGACTTATTATCCCTCCTAGAAAGCTAATAAGTGTATTTCACAGAATGTCAAAGTGAATTTTGAAGTATGAACATGCAGGTGAAGAAACACTCTAACATTTACTCTCCACCTAAATATAGCCAGGGCTAATGTGTGATTCTGACCTGCGGATGTTCCAGATTAATATCTTGGTGCCTTTCTTGGAGAGAATGGAGTCAAAGTGTGCAAGTATCTGCTCCTGGGAGGTGATGATGGAGTGTTGGAGGATGGCTGCCAGGCTGGCCTCCGAGTCCTCGGTCACCACCAGAGACTGTAACACTGAGTTAAGGTCAGAACATAAAGGAGCTTGCAAGATGACAAACATATTCTCTATCAATCAGTGTAAAAAAAATATTGTTTTATGGAGGATATTGGTTTGTTGGTTGAAGGGGACGATGGGGACAATGACAGCCTGGGCCTTGATGTTCTCCAGGTAGGTCTGAGACAGCATTCCCACGGTCTGGCAGCCGCCGTTCTTGGTGAAGATGAGCGCGTCGCGGCCCAGACGCATGGAGCCAGACTTGAAACCGTTCCCGTACACACCGATGGCATGCTGACTGGCTTTACCCGAACCCTTTTCTGTAAAACCAAAGCTAGACGTAAAGGTGAAGGGGAGAGTGAGGACAGAAGGATGCACATCTGTGTGTACATTAGAGACAGAACTTGTAGAATAGACTGAGAAACTGATAGAGAAATTGTGCACAGAATTATTTAAAAAAAGGAACAAATTTAGAACAGGATTACTGAATATTTTATACATAACTAAAAGGTTCTTTGTAGAGCAGCAGCAGTATTACTACAACAGCAAAGTCACTATGTAAACTTGATAGTCCCTCACTGGTGACAAATCTAACATGTCAATCAAATAGAGTAAAGTTTAGAAAGAATGACAAACACAGACATCTGTCAGTATGAGTCATTCCTCCTGGCGTCTCTGCTCCTCCCTCTGCTGCTGAGGTGATTTCACTGCCTGCAGGTAGCGCTGGTAAAGTTTAACACACGTGGCAAACTAAGCGGCACAGTTAGACGCCCTACAGAAAGATCTTTTTGGTTTAAGCTTGTGTTGTCACTATTACCTGAGCTAATGCGCTGTGCTTCTGTAAAACACGATGTTAGCTGCAGGGGAAGAGAGATGGCGGACAGAGCATTGACTGACTGAAATATCGCTCATCTACATATTGACTTTAATTCAAGCCAATAAGATCATCAATGACCCCTCTCATCTTCTGCATTATGAGTGCGAACTGCTGCCCTCTGGTAGGAGATTCGTCGCAGGCTCAACAGATTTAAAATTTCACACATACCTCTGTCTATAAAGCTTTTAAATCATGCCAGATAAAGCCAGAACTGGCATTGGATTATGACAATTTGCTGACTTGCATTTTTGTAGAGGTATTTTTGGTGTGTTTATCTTTTTGTGTTTCTTATGTCATTGCTACATTGGGTATAATGTTGATTTGTCAGTGTACTGTGTTGTATGTTGTATTTCTATGGCTGCAGTATGGGTGTAGAGCACAAGACAATAAAGTTAACCTTGACCTTGATCTAGATCTTTACATGTGATTTCATAAGCAGGCTTATTGATATAATATTTGTTTTTTACTCATGAAGGTTTTATCGCAACAGTAATGAGCATGGTTGTTATTAAATTAAGTAAACTCCAATTCACTGTCTCCACGGCGACCTCTATGCTCTACTGTTTGCTCCATATTTGTGTGTGTGTGTGTGTGTGTGTGTGTGTGTGTGTGTGTGTGATGAAGGCGCAGCACTGACACACACAGAGCAGTGAAGAGGCTGCAGCATGGTAATACATGACAATAAGTACAGATAAAAGAGCCGCTAACGTCGGAGCTTAACAATACTGCGATCTTTAATGATTTAGCTCTGGTGCTTGTTTAATACTGGCGAGGTTAACGGGGTCAAAGCTTCATGCATCCGTGGGAAAATGCACATATCAAAAGATTGATCTCGGGTTTTCTGAACCAACATAGGATCATTCAAATGAAGATCAATTTGAACCTGTTGAATCGATTATTTTACCCCGCGCTAAGGGCTATCGTCTCCCTGTTGTGGTTGTGCAATGGTTGATGCACTCCCTTTGCACTGCAAAATTGAGCCTCTACTTTTTGGGAGATGGTGTCCCATGGGAGACAGAATTGCATAGTAAAAGTGAGGCTTATAGGAAACCAATCTGAATGCTGATGGTATAGCCACTACATTGTGCCATCAACGTTTACTTCATAATGACAAGTTAAATAATTCATTAATTAATTAACAAATCGTTTCACCTCTGTGTGTATGTGTGTAGCTTTGCACGTTTGAATTCTTTAGACACTGTGACACGTGTCTAAAGACAAAAATGCTGGTGAGTCACTCTTTGTGGTTGACACGCAGGAGAGAGGAACACTATCAGTGTGTGTGACATCATGCGAGTAAAATGTGTCTGATGCAACACGCTTTTAAAATCTGTAACGCGTGTTTCATTCACATGTAAACTTCATGTGCATGTGCATACGTGTGTCTTACCTGAGCATCTTGTGCAGCTTGTTGGGCGTCATGCCGCTGCCATTATCAGTGAAGGTTAGACATAGGTGACCGGATTCATCTACTACATCTATCCAGATCTGTTTGGCCAGTACACCAGGATCTGACGCGTTGTCTACAATATGTAGAAGATAAATACATTACTGACAGGGAAAGAGAGATGGTCAGAAAGATTGTAGGGTAGAGGCAGATGTCATCCAAGCATAAATCTACCACCGCTTTACTAAAAAGAGTTTATCCATCATTTTTATCATTACCTCATTGCACAGGAAAACCGTGTCATACACAGCAACAGTAAGATGGCTGTCAGCTCATACTGAATGAGGAAGTTGGAGCTTAAACTGTGTTGGACATTTACTACAGTCAAGCTTGACCGTGTGGGCTTAACTCTGCCCAGTCAGTTCCCATTGAGTCTATTCATAGACTCTAAAGATGACGGTCATTGCAACCATGACATCACCCACTGGTTTGTGGACTCCAGTTTTGAAGCCTGTCGCCATCTTGGTTTTGGACCCAGAAGTGACCAAATTTGGGCGAGAGGGCAGAGCTATGGAGGAGCGAGGGGTGGATCTAACTGACAAGCCAAGGACACTAACGGCAGACAGTCCGTCACTGAAAGCGGCCACCCTTAAATATGTGTAACTTTAAGCCTTAAAGAGCAACTTACAGGTTAATGTTTTTGCTAAATTTTTACTTAATCTTTCCAGAAAATGGCCTTTTTGAAAAATGAATGCATGATTTTACATGTTTTACAAGTCAAATGCTTCATATTCCGTAACGTGGGGAGTTGTTGTACTCGACTCTGCCTCTGCACATTGCACATAAGTGTGTGCTATTGGTTGTAAGCAGTCATGAGCTGGCTTTTTTCAATAGATTTGCATTGTATTTTATCATTTTCATCATGGTGAAGTTTTGTGTGTGTGCAGGTTGCACAAATTCTGTTTTGTCAGGACATTGAATCCATGGTTTCCCTGACAGGAAAAAGAATGGAGCTAGCTTTTACGTCTGGGTGCGGTTTTTTAAAACATTTAAACGGATGAGTTATATCCTCCTGAGACCCAAAGTTTTGTGTGGTGTACATTTTTAATTTCTCCTAGCTATTTTGGATCAGTAGGACATGATAAGAACAAAAAATGAAACATTGTCCCAATGTCTTCAAACTAAACGACAATAAAGTCCCAATGTCCTCAAACAAGACAGTAATAAAGTTCCAGCGTCCTCAAACAAGACAATAATAAAGTTCCAATGTCCTCAAACAAGACAATAATAAAGTTCCAATGTCCTCAAACGAGGGCATATTAACATGGGAGTCTATCGGAAATGACTGCTTCTGTAGCCAGCCTCAAGTGGCCATTCAAGGAACTGCAGTTTTGGCACTTCGATGTTCTCTTTCACCTCCCAAGGTTTATGTTTATTTAGAAAGGGACATTCACATTAATTAACACAATCACTCAAGTCACATAAATTTGCCAGATTTAGCCGTACAGGCTCATTTTCATCTGCAGTTCCTTGCAGGTTGATGGTATATATGTATATGACAAAAATACATTAAAATAACATACATAAGCACAGAGCAAACATATAACCGTAGACAAAAGCACATAGCAAAGCACATAAGCAAAAACAACTAGACATAAGCACTATTAATAAAACAATGACATTACCATATAACCGCTTGAGTCTATTGCTATTTTTATGCTTCAGACTTTAGATGCTAATACACACATATTATAATCTAGTACTAGTTTACTTCTCTAATCTTAACCATGCATCTGTGGTTGTACTTTGCTGCTGTGGCCCTTCCCTGCTTGGTGTGTTTATCTCATCTCATATCTTTATCAAAACCACTCTCATACAAGACTGATTTTGCACGATTTAGAGTTCTAATTTGAGTCTCTGCTCTGAGAACCACAGGAATTCACTTTACAAACATATGTTTTAATGCTAAGATATGAACCCAAAGTGAAAAAAAATGCACTTGGCTCTTCGCTCATTGCATCATGTGAGCAGACAAAGCAGTGATGTCAGCGCCTCTGCATTTACACAGCACACTCACACTGCTCTTCCTGTTAAAACTCAGCAGCCAACAGGTCAACACGTCTGAGCCAATCACAGAGCACACAGTGGAGGACTGACAGTGTTGACAGCAGAGGCACAGACGCTTTGATCATGAGGAGGGACAGATCATCCAGTGATTCATGCTGTAGGCTACTAAAGTCCACATTATGTGTCCCTTTAACACAGATATCAGAGATCAGAACATATAAAAATACTATAAAACCTGACCTTAGTGCAGGTTATAAGAATCTGAGGAATATTGTGAGCAATGCAGGGAGGAAGCAGACAACATAAATACAACAAGCTCTTTTGTAATAACTTAATAACATAATTATTGCCATGCCACTCCTGTATACTGTCAACATACAGGCTTGCCACAGTGATAAAACCGTTGGCTGTGGGAAAGAGGAAGTCCACTCGGTCCATCTTAGCACCAACACAAATATCTCTTCAACACACGCAGTCAACTTTTGCCAAAGAGCGCATGACATTAGTGAAAGCTGCAACAAGTTGTGCAGAGCGCACCAGAGCTGCAGGTGCGCACGAGTACACGTTTAAGCGCAAAACTTGACACTGAGACCTACCTATGAGCTCTGCCACCGCGCTGAAGGGCCAGGTGTGACTTGTGGAGTTGCTGTTCAGGAAGGAAGGGCTCATCTTGACAAGAAAATAAAAACAAAACACAAGTGAGTGTTTCAGTTTCACACATCCTGCAGCACATATGAAAAATGTGAAATACATACGGAACTCAGGCGGATCCCATGCTCGCTTAACCTCGCCATTACTGCGTCTGTGTTTTTGCGTCTTGTGGCGCCTGCTGTGTGTTTTCTGCGCGCATGCACGTAAGCAGACACAAGCAGTGGGCGTAGCGTCCTGCCGGCTGTCAAAGGAAGTCAACTGAGTGAGAGAGTACAGAGGTATACACGAAAGAATTCACTCTTCACTGCTGCACAAACACTCAAAGGACAATTTGTGCATATTTCCCCCCATGGTCTGTTTCTCATGAGTTATCTGTGACACTACCTGTGGCTGATTAAGCTCTCACACACACTTTCACTTTTCCTGGTCCCATTAATAGGGGAGACCGGGGCACAACCTGACACATTTTAGTTTGGGCTGAATGTTAAAGTGTTTTATTCTAACATGCACATCTCTGCTACAAAGAGTTACTGTCTTTTTTAAACTTACCTTTCTTCTACAATTGCACTGAGCATACTGCAGAAGTAGTGGAGATGAAATGTTACAGCCTGCCCCATGGGTGGGGTTAATTGTAACAGGCAAAGGGTTCACTTGGTGGAAAAGTCTGTTTAACCCACTAGTTTGACCCACTGATTGCTGTCCTAGTTGCCACGGGTGTGCTGCAAGTATGAAACTCAAGCCATTTCATGTGGTATGGTTGTGGCAAGGAAACTTATTATACTTATGTGGAAGTCAGATGGTGCACCAGCATGTGATATGTGGATAAGAGAGCTGATGAAAGTATTGTTTTCCAAAAGGTTAAGGTTTTCTAATAAAAATAAGATTCAAATATTTGTCAGAATTTGGAGCCCTGTACTTGAGTATTTCAGGGGTGGTGAATTATGGTCTAACTAAATGACAGTATACCCTCTATCGCTGTGTATCCACCTTATTCCTAGCCCCAGCTAATACTCCACTCGTCTGTGTTAATGACGAAGTTCACACGTCTTTTTTTTAACTTCTGATTTATTAAAAACTGTTCTGAGCGAAACATGATGCTGAATTTAGCAGCAGACTTCAGTCCCTTTTTGTTCTGGTTACATGATCAACACACAGTTGCTGAAGACAAAAATCTAGCTTGTGCTGGTTGTTAGTCATTACAGACACCGACAGTGCAACATGTACCAGAGCTCCACAAAGACATTTTAGAAAATGCTAAGTTAACATTAGTTAAATATTTGTTAAAAAAAATAAATCAGTATTTGCTAAACTGAAAACAAATTACTTTCGTAGAGAACCATCGTTGGCAGAAGTTGTGCCCATAATTATTTCTACAGTAGTGGCCTCAGGAATAAGGTGGATATGTACTTTATATTAGTTGTGATGCTGAAGTCCTAGGACTTGTTTTTGTTTTTCGAACTATGAAGATATTTGTGACTGAGTTGCTAAAATGATGCACTGAGCATTTGTTTTGTATTGAACTTCCTGAAATAAAGGTTGAAAAACCACAATTAATTCCATCCAATTTTATCTATATACTATAAGTCTCCATCTACATCAGAGGAAGGATAGTTATCCGTACAGGTATCCATCTGTTAGTCTATCACCGTTATCCAGTGGTTTGACCAATAGATGTGCATAGATTGGGTAACCTAGATTATGAGATTATGAGAATGCCAAATCTTGTGTTAGAGCTGGTTATGATTTATCTGAACAATTTGTACGTAATGTAGGAGTGCATCAGGGGGATAATTTATCACCACTATTGTTTGCACTATATTTAAATGACTTTGAAAAATATGTGAGTCAATGGTATGATGGACTGAGAGTCTCATCCTACTCTCTAATGTGCTATGTGTGAGCTCAGTCCTGCGTGTTCTTTAATGAAGCAATAGGAGAAGATATTTGGTCTCAGTTAATGTAGTTTATTAAGCAGTAAAGGAATAAAATTACAGAGCTCTGGGTCTCAACTTCACGTCCCTGACGAACAACGAAGGTGTGTCAGTTCACGAAGTCTGACCTCCTGTCCTTTCCCTGACCCAGTATATTTGAGCGTAACAGAGTGTCATTGTGCACGCAAGGCGTTGTCCTCTTCTCATTGGCAGTTCCACTTCCTCCTTCACCACACCACGCCCCTGCCTCGTGTTAATCTGACTCCTTCCCGCTGGCGGTGGGGGCGTGGTTCCTGTTTTGAAAGACAAGAGAACAACACAACTCCCTACACGTGCTGTACCTTACTATCTGTATATCACTTTCTATTCTTTTTACCATTTATGAAACTAATTATCTAAGCATTGCGGTATGTGCTCCTCAGACTTCATGTCTCTTCCTCTCCTGTACTTCTCCACTTCTGCAAAGCAAACACATTCAGATCAGCTGAAATCATCTCAGTATTCTCATTTTTCACACATCTAAAACTTATATATTGAAACACAACTTATAGTAAAACACATAACATCATTCTATTCCCAACAGGTACAACGGACTTCAACTTTTTTCAACTGAATGCCTTAATGTGATGAATGGTGAAATAGGGATATATTTGAAATTATATGTCCTGCTTTACGTGGATGATACGATTGTACTGGCAGAGACTGCTTCAGAATTACAGGCCGCATTAAATGCAGTTGCTTCTTATTGTAAAAACTGGTATTTAACTGTCAACACAGACAAAACAAAGGTTATTTTCTCTAGGGGGAAATTACAGATACTCCCAGAATTTAAGTTTGGTTCAGATAAATTAGAAGTTACTTTTGAGTATGACTATCTTGGAATGTTATTTAATTTTAATGGACGATTTGATAAAGCAATAGCTAAGCAAGTTAAACTAGCTAAAAGAGCTTTATTCTCCTTGGAAAACAGAGTTACTAGATTACAGTTACCTGTTGATATACAATGTGAGTTATTTGACCAGCTTATAGTGCCTATTCTTTTATATGGAAGTGAAATCTGGGGATTTCATAAACTTGACCAAATTGAAATGCTTCACAGATCTTTCTTGAAACGTTTACTTAATGTTAATAAACGCACAGCAAATTGTATTATTTATGGAGAGTTTGGTCAAAATAGTTTAGATTTAAAGGTAAACATGAGAATGATTAACTTTTGGGTACATTTAATTAGTCATAATACAGCAAAAATCTCTTTGACTGTGTTTATTGTTTTCAAGACTTTGTATGATGACAATATTTTTCAGTGTAAATGGATTTCCAAAGTTAAAAATATTCTTGATGATTGTGGTTTATCGTACTTATGGCATGACGCTGGACGGATGAACCCTAAATATTTAAAATTAATGATTGAACGTAGATTATCTGATATGGAACTACAGAGATGGCATGAGAAATTACAGAGTAACCCTTTATGTGATAGTTATAAATTGTTTAAAACTGATTTCACTTTTGAACCTTATCTGATTATGTTAAGACCTGCCAAAAGAGTTTGTTTGTCTAAGTTTCGGTGTGGAAATCATAAGTTACCTATCTCTGAGCGCAGGTATGATCGTGAAAATGTCCCGGAAATGTACTCTTTGTTTGACTGGCAATCGAGGAGACGAATATCATTATGTACTTGTGTGTTCTTTTTTTGATAAAGAGAGAAGAGAGTTGGTCGGACAGTTCTATAGAGCAAATCCAAATATTTATAAGTTTCAGAAGTTAATGTCATCTCGAAGTGTAAAGGTCTTGTAAAATTTGTTGAAACTTTGAAAGAAAATCTTGAATAGTTTCTCTTGATTTGCTTTGACTTGTATGTATGTACACAAATTCTGTTTTATTTATTTTGCTGTGCATTGGCTACCGCCTGTCCTGATTTGTTAGTTATTTTTTGTTGTCTGCCCCTTATACCCCGGGGAGGGGTCAAAAGGAATAAATGAAATGAAATGAAATGAAAGATCCACATGTCAAAATATGAGTTTTGAATGTATGAACATTGACAAGACTGTGAAACTGTTTGTCAATAAGATACCTGACAAATTAAAAATATAAAGTATATCTCATTCAGTTGAGGACATTGGTTTTAACTGAACATCAGTTAGCCTAGCCTAGCTAACACTTGCTGGGAGTTGGTTACATAGTTCAAAATTGTGCTGTTTTAGGCAGCAAGAGAGTTACTAAGATGATATATGGTTGGATTCAGTGGCTTACATAGACAGCTCAGTAATCGAAAAACAAGTATGACATTACTTATGTTGGTTTAAAACTCTCTTTGTTACTGAACTGCGCTGAAACACGTCCAATCTCCGTGGAATTTTGCGGGTCACTGTTTGGTGGTACTGTGGTCAACTGGCCAGAAGCATGAAAGGATTGACCCTGTGTAACCACATAAAAAGTCCATGTTCCAGTTTACCCCATGGTATGTTGTGCCTTGCGCTCCCCTATTCACCTGGAAGCCATTTTTAATTTATAAAGACAGCGCACATTCTGTAAATGTGCCAGTGTTAGCCAGCTGGCTAAATTTCATGTTAGTTCAAACAGACATGCAAGCAACATGTAACTGAAGCAGGAGTTAGCACCATCTGACTTAACATTGCCTGTGCTTTTAAGCAAAGTCTCAGCTGAGCTGTGACGTAGCTGCCACCAGAGGCTGATACATCAGCACTGTCATAAAGTTTCCACAGACTCATCATTGTAAAGCTGCACAGACAGGATTTTCTAGACAGTTAGATAGTTGTAAATATAAAGTGCAGCCAGGAATTCTGTCCTGTTGATTGTCAGCTGATCAGAATGTGTGAGATCCACATTTCGTGTGTGAAAGTGTGTCATTTAAAAAGACACACTTTGTAATGACGTATATGTTTCAAAAGAGACAACTGAGCTGCTGGTCATACCCACCATCAGAACAACTCATCAAACTCCAACAATACTTGTCGATCACATTCCTTTTTACCTGAAGACATACAGTATATATGAATGACTGTGAATGCAAATAATATGCCATACAAAAAAACGAAAGCTTGTTCAACTGCTGCTAGTGTATATTCTTCTCAGAGCCCTGCAGCTTCTGCTTCCTGCAGCTAACTGTTGTGGCCTAGTTGTCTGGAGGTCCCCCATCAGACCGTAAACCATCTCCCACAATGGTTTAGACATGTTTACACATGCTTACATTACATTGTAAAATAAATTATGACACATCATAGCTTTCAGTCATGTGTTACAAGCCAGTTTCTACAGTTTCCCTTAGTCTTATCATCAGAAAGCTGCTTTTGTGTGTTTTAAGCATTGGCCTATTCTAATAACCTGTGTAACAGAGTAAGCTGTGACCATCATGGGATCATGGTAGATGCCAGAGGTGAGGACTCGAGTCACTTGGCCTGGACTCGAGTCAGACTCAAGTCACAAATTTGGACTCAACTTGACAAAATCACAAAACACTTGCAGCTCAACTTGGACTTTAACACGAATGACTTGTGACTTTACTTGGACTTGAGCCTTTTGACTTGAAAATACTTGACACCTTTGGCCAAACCTAAAGATTAAGATGTATGTAGTTTAAAAATTATTTTCGCTTGAATCCCTGAATCAGCTTTTATTAAAACTACTGACTCCCAGCTAGCTGACGCTTAATTCCCCAGATCCACTTTGCTTTAATGAGTTAAACAGCATCCAATCAAGTTGCAGGAGAGGACCATGAGGAGCTAACGTTACGTTTCTGAGTGCCAGCTGGAAAAAAATTATACCAAAGATAATTTTGTTGACTATCAAAAACTAGGCAGAGGTCAACAAAAAATGAATTTCAATATGCAAGACATGTAAATGCAGAATATAAAAGGTATTCATGAGTTTTGTAAATTTAATATATTATTATTCTGTTGTTACATTTGGTGAAGAGCGCATTATGACTTCTTTAGGACATGACACTCAAAGTTTAAGACTTGGAACTTGTGTGCAAAGACTTCGGAATTAATTGTGACTTGCAAAACACTTACTTGGTCCCACCTCTGGTAATGCTTAAACAAAGTGCCACACAAGTAGTGGCATAAGTAGAGTCTAAGCTAACGTTAGCCACTAAAAGCTACTGGTCACACAAGACCAAGGAAGACTCCAGCTGCAAAAACCCTGCTTGTAAATTGAATAAAATTAAATAGTAGTATATGTTCTGTTGCTTTGAATTCATTTCATTTTTCATTTGTGAGAGAAAGACCATGTTACATCTTCCTTCAAAAATTACATAGCGTCACTTTAACATGAAATTCAATCCACTAGGGCTGAGGACAAAGCCTTAAATGTTCTTTCCAGCTAACTGCATGTCACAGAGATTCACACAGACAGGCTGACACTTCATGAACCCACAGTGCTTCTCACGTTTGACACTTTCTTTAGATAAAACAGGATATGTCATGGTGAGCAGCTTGCCTGACCACAAAGAGATTCCACTACTGTACACAGGCCTCCTATACACTATGCTCAAACTCAGTGACATGTGGTTTGGGGGTGTCTGAATGTGTGATGGGGCCATGCAGCACCTGCACTCACTGGAAGTACAAGTCGGACAAGTTTTGAACCCTTTGACTTTCCTCACAGACGATATAACTCCAGGAATATAAATGCAAACTAACAAAACCAGTTATATGTCTGAAAGAGTTTTAATGTGAGATGAGGGTGCAGAATCTGCAGCATATTTTTGCAAGGCTCGGAAAAGAAGAAAACGGGCCTGAATGTACTAAAATAATGATTTAACTTTATTATATTATCCTTGTTTTTAGTCTGTCTCTCCATATAAACATAGTGATAAAATTTTCATGTTTAAATTGGCAATAACAATTTTAATTTTACAGTAAAAACTATCTGGATTTAAAACTGATAACCAGCTGGGAGAAGGAATTAAAGGTAGTTATATCTCCAGACATGTGGGTGGACATGCGTAATAATATACGTAAAAGACTACAAGTTCATTAATTTGGAGAGAATATTCTTGAAAAAATTTTTTTTACCACCTGGTATCCAAGTCAAGTACTCGAGGGAGAGAGCACCACGCTGTTGGCGAAAATGTGGGGAGGTAGCAGCCAACCATACACACGTATTCTGTTCCTGTCCGGTTTTCCATCAAAATTGGGAATAAGGGAAGTGATAGACTGCATTTTCAGTGCTCACTAAATGCACACAACAGCTACTCTCTCAACAAAATTTTAAGTATCCGAGTAGCCGCACTGAAACAGATAAAAAAATTGGTTGAAACCGGAGGCACCACACCTGAGCAAATGGAAGGATACATTAACAAGATCTATAAAATGTAGGTGATAAAAAAACGGCAGTAGGAATCTAGCTAAAAGATTTGATGCAAGATGGAACAGAATTCATGGGGCGTCGGTGGCTTGGTGGTAGAGCGGGCGCCCCATGTGCAGGGCTGTTGCCGCAGTGGCCCGGGTTCGGGTCGGGCCTGTGGCCCCTTTGCTGCATGTCATCCCCTCTCTCTCCCCCTTTCACACTTGGCTGTCCTATCCATTAAAGGCAAAAAATGCCCAAAAAATATCGTGAAAAAAAGAAAAAGAAAAAAAAAAGATGGAACAGAATTCAGGAAACGGGTATTACACAATAGTAATAAGGTAGGGGGAAATGAGGGGAGAAGGAAGACGAGAAGGGATGAAAGAAAAGACAGGAAAAAGAGAGGAAAGAAATTTACTTTTTCTAGGATATCTCTTGAACCAAACTTTTTATTTTTATTTTATGTAAGTCTTTATTTACCTGGTGGAAATTATTATTATTTTTTTTTATTTTTAAAGATTATTTTTTGGGCCTTTTGCCTTTAATGAACAGGACAGAGTGAAATGGGGTGAGAGAGAGTCGAGCCTGCGACCGCTGCGACAAGGCATCACCTCTGTACATGGGGCGCCAGTACTATCCACTACGCGACCGACGCCCCCGTAAATGATTATTTTTAAAGCATTTTAGTTTTTTTCCATTTTATTTACTACACTTGATTATTTATTGCGACAATCCCATGTATGTATGCCAGAATGTATGCATGTATATGTAATTTATAGTACTGTCATTTCTATTTTGTTATTATAGCTACTTTATTATTGTTTTGTTTGGTTTGTTTTGCTTGTTTTTGTTATTTGAGACGTTAGGATCATGGAGTGGGAGGACTGTACAGTGGCTATTGTAAATACAACACTTTCTTTTTCCTTTTCTTTCTATAAAAAGTAGCCAAACTACTGTAAGAAACTTTAATTTTGACAAATAAAGATTATAAAAAATAACAAAAAAATATTTGTTTTAATTGCTCACTCAGTCAGTGACAGGCTTTTACTTTGATACAACTGTCTGTAACTTCCAGGTTTTACAAACACTGCATGTTTTTCTTGACAGATGTTTTCCCCAAACAAACTGCATCAAAGACAAAAGCACACACAAGGACAGAAGCATCCCCCTTTTTTATATTTTATTATCTTTTCTCAGTGCAATCACTCAGTCCCTTGAAGCATAAAACAGTCCCCACCGTTGGTCTCCGCTGTTGGATCGTTCCAGTTTTTCTCTCCATCCATTTACTATTGCAAAGTAGTCCTCTTCAGAGAATTCCTGCAGGGGAGAGGAGGCAGGTATGATGAGCAGTCATACAGAGAATTAAAAGAGGAATTTATGTTCAGTTGGGGTTATTAAGTTGACATATTGTGCATGCTAACCTGAATGAACTCATTCTTGATGGTCTCAGCTCTTTGCAGCTCCGTCTTTATCACCTGGATGAACTGAGCTGTCCGGTCTTCTGCCCGAACCTTGCAGAAACCTGCTTCCTCAAGGAACTACAGGGGAAGAGACAGAGGGGGTGAAGAGGAGTGGGAACAGCACCACCAGCTGATGGTTCATCAGCAACACATCCACAAAGCACACAGTCACAGCATTTATGCATTTGGGCTGTCTGTGCAGAGGACTTTGACTTTTTAGGAGTTAACCAATATGTGAATCTGGTTTCACAACATCATCTCTTCTTTGGGCACGATAAAGCAGCAAAACTTTAACAGTCTTAATCTGTCTGGTATGAAGACACATATTTAAACATGAGCAGCTTGTTTATGTAACCTTTAACAGCAGAGTTCTTAGTAACTTGAGATTTTGGCTTTGTTTCCTTGTGTACACAGGCCAAACATTCAAATACAGGTCATACCTGTAATACTGTGAATTTTAGCTCATATAACTTGTTGCCTTTTTTTTAATTTCTTTTAGGCCATTTTTAAGCATTCATTAGAAAGCCGAGGGTACAGCGACAGGAAACAAGGAGAGAGAGAATGAAAAATGTGTGTTTATTTTACACAGACTTTATAATAAAGATGGATGACATGACAACATCTTGATTACCCTCTGGCGGTTGGTACACACACAGTCCATACACCCCACCCCCTTCCATGTTGGCAGATGGGACATGAGCCAAACTAAACGATCAAAGTACACATCACATAAATTTTCCGTTTGTGGCTGGTCAGATGTTGGGAACACCATCTGCACTGTGCAGACTCTGGCTCCAAATTACATCACTAGAACAAGATGGCAGTGGCTATTTAGGCTTCATTTTTGCACAGTGGTAGGAAGCAGAAACATATGGTCAACAGGCCTCGTTACACACACAGGGTTTCACCCAGGGGTGGTGCCTATTGTCCTGCATCACACACACACAGTGTTCACTTGTTGGATAAGCTAGCAAAACTGTAACCTTAAAGTTGTTTATTAATCTAATCTTTGTCTTAACACCAAGATTAAACCTACAAGCGACTTCACGCCCGACTATCCTCAAACAGAGACGAGTTTTTATTTCTTTTGTGATCACTGATTTACAAAGATGGACTTAGATTTTTACTCCTTGTACTGCTGGCATGGCTGCAACTGTAACTAGACCTCCTTGCTGACTTTTTTAAATTACTTTTACTTGACTATCAATGTCCACATACTGTAGGTGTGACACCACAAGTTTATATAATGGATGGTACAGTGTGCGTACAGACACTGCAGTGCACTCAGCAAGACTCCATGTTGCCATGTTTTGATTCATATTGGTAAAGAGGACCAAAGGGTTGAAGTTCCCACAGGACAGTGTAGTCCTTACACATTCTATTACATAATTAGGCTCTGCTGTATATTTACCTTGCCATACTGTGATGGTGTATAGAGGATGTAGCCTCTCTGTTTGACGTAGGCCTCGAACACCGGTGTCCAGGGCTTCTCCCCGCAGCAGTAATCACTGATAAGCAGCTTGCCCCCTGGCTTTAACCATGACTGGACACAAAAGAATAATAATGCAGTGAAGTTAGAGCAGAAAGTCACATAAAAGGCACTAGTTTCCCAAAGAAATATGGATAAGACATAAAATTGTTGTTTTCATGTTTTGTTAGATTTGCCACATTTCTACAGATGTCTGAAATCAAAGAAATGATTTAATGCTGCTGTTTAAAGTATGAGAAGATGCTCACATGGAAGCGTTTGAAGAGCGCCAGTTTGTCAGCTATGTGCAGGATTGTGTCTCTGCTGTAGATCACGTCAAAGGAAGCTTCTGGGAACGACCTCTTAGTGGCATCAGCCACCTCAAACTGGACCTGAAAAAAACAAAACAAAACATCAAAGTGGAAATAGACACGTTTTTAGCTTTAACTTTTTCATTATAAAGCAAATGTTGGTAAGCTTCATGTTCACTATACAACTCTGTCAGACACCAGGTATGATCTCCTGTGAAAATGAAGGCCCAAAAGAAAGAGCGTCAGCTATTGTTTGATCGAAATGAGAAGAGAATGGAACATTTATTTTCCCTGGTAGCTATCGGTGGCTATCCCAAAGAGATCCAATACAAGTTCTTTGCATTAACTATCTACCATAGAAGAAATGGCAGTCCGTTGAACAACTAAAGTCACTGCGGTAGTTGTCAGGCTATGAGGAAAATGGAAAGCATGACTATTCAAGCCATTATCTGTAGTATTTATCATAGAGGAACATTAAGACATACTGATGGCAGCTTCTCAGTGATCGCCCTATCCATGGCGATGTTCACCATGTTGTCTGACAAGTCCAGGCCAAGCACCTCCACTCCAAACGTCTGCAAAGTAACAGAATCATTGCCATCAGCACAGTTCTTCCAATCATTAGAAATCCCTTTATCATCATTAGTATCACATTAACTATGGCAGATTCTTTGGCTCGTACCTTTGCCATGTAGAAATCTCCTCCACCAATGCCACAGCCAACATCGAGAACCTTCTGTCCGGGCTTCAGGTTCAGCAGGTCCACAAACTCCTGTCAGCACAGAACAAGGTTCATTCTTTAGTTCCAAATTATACACCTACACATTTCTGTCTTTTAGTGTTCAGTATCATCATTGTTGTGGTATTAGGGATGACTAGGATGAATATATTGAGAGTTAATTTCAATATTTATTTTATTTTGTTCATGACACACACATCATATGAGTCATGTCTCACAGTGCTTAGTCATGGAAATATGTGTATAATGACACTGAATGAAACACAAAGGCCTGAAAGTCTGTTTGACACAGGTTCACTCATGTGGCATGGAGAGCAGGTGCATAACAGAGAAGCAATGAAGCTTCCTTAACAAAAAGATAACAGAAACTTTTAAAGAGGAACAGAGGAAGCAGGAGGGGAGAGGAGTATCCTCTGATAAAGCTGCTATGATAAAGGCTGGTTCTGTTGCTGCTGAAGGTCATTTGTAGCATTTGTTTGAAAGCAGGACTTATGAGTCTACAGCCACACTTTCAACCTTGTGAAGCTTGACATAAGGCATTTATTGCTGAGCTTGCTTTTCACTTCACATGCTTTGTTTTTTCCTTCCAGAACACATTTATTGATTCCTCCCAGCTAATGTCTTGGTGTTTGCCAGACTGTATTCCTACCTTGGTGGTGCTGGGCCCTCCTGTGCTGACGTAACCAGCCCCGAACATCTTCTCGTAGCGCAGGATGCCGCGGTTGGTGTACTGCTGGTTGTCCAGGAACTGCTGGAAGCTGGTGAATTTGCTCTGAGTGCTGGAGGAGCGGAGGACCTTCTCTAGAAGCCAGCAGATCTGGTTCGGGTTGTTTTTCATCTGAAAAAAGGACGAGGACAGAAAGGATGGAGACGGGGCAGGGAGAGGAGGGGAGAGAGGAGGGGATTAACTCTGCATCCTCTCTCCAACATCATACACTGCTATGTCTTTTTAGTTTATACTTAAAGTTTCACTGCAAGACTTAAATGACTCTACCTCAACGTAGGCCTTAACTTTCTTTTTCAACACAGTGTCGTAACCAAAGTTTTGGCCCTCCTGTGGCCCCTCCACTTGTACTGATGCCACCAGCTGGCTGTATTGTGCCTCAGTGCGGTAGCAGGTGGGGTTGAAATCCCTCTTGGAGTCACCTTGGTAGAAATATATGAGTTAAAATGAATCATTCTCCTTATCATTTGTGTTAAGAGAAAGATTTTGGCTGCTGTGGCTGACAATTTATAATCAACTGAGCCAGATTCAATTTTTATCAATGTTTCAATCATGATTATTGATGTGGATGTTTTATTGTTAGCTCAGTACCTGACCGGTGGTTACAGGACTCTCTGAAGAAAAGAAAGCCACCGGGCCGCAGCCAGCTCAGAGTCTTCTTCAGAAAACACTGCAGCTCCTCGTCGGTCAGGTACATCAGCAGCCAGTTGGAGAAGACGAAGTCAATACTGAGGGAAACAACGAATGGATACCTTAAAATATCATAAAATGCCAAATTTCATACGTCATTTGTCGAGGCATTTCCATAAGAGCCACAAATGTCAACCTCATGTTTGTCTACAACAACAGTCAGGGGATCACCATAGTCAGTATGATTCAACGCCTGTGGACAGTTACTGAATCAACTTGCAATCCATCCAAAAGTTGTTGAGATTTTTCAGTCTGGACCAAAGTGGTGGGCCGACCACATAACCAGTGCTGCCATCCCTGTAGCAATACTCTACTAAAACCTAAAGATATAAAGTGTCTCAACAAATATCTTAACACACCTGTTTTCAGGGATTTCCAGCTTTGTGACGTCAGCTTGAATGAAAGTAGCGTTGCTATGGTGACCGTTTTCTTGCTTGTTCTTCTCCACAAAGCTCTCCATGAAGTCCACAGCCGTCACATGGCTGGCCTTCGTCACCAGGTGGCTGGTGAAGCGGCTGTAGAGACACGAAAGTATAAATCTTCACAACAAGCCAAATGTTAGGATACACAGGAGGGCACTCCAGGCACTCCCAAAATATAAAAACAAGGAAGAAGGTATTAAAAAACCTTTAATGAAGTGGCTAAATCTTAAAAGAGCCAACATGTTTGGACCACTGCAGGTCTTCGTAAGGGCTTTAAAACAAACAACAAAGGTATGGCCCCACTTATAAAGAAGCAGGAACCAATCAGAGGCCATCACATGACCCAGATAATGACATGGCAGGTGAAACAAATACAAAATAATGAAAAAATAGCAAGTTAATAAAAAACATGGAGTACCATGAGATGTGTTACCCAGAAAACTGTATTAAGACATTTTAAAGCTTTCTAAGGACCTGCAGGCACCCTGTTTTTTTTTAATGTTCCAACATAATCTCATACCTGAAATGGAAAACTGCCATCTGCTACATGCTCCTAAATTAAACAGAGACTTTCCCATTCTCTCCCAGCCACCTCTACTCCCCATCCATTACGGATGATTCTTCTGATATTTTGAAAAGGAATGGCGCAGGAAATATAGAAACCCTTTTCATAGATGACATATTTCCTACCTTTTAACATCTTTAACTTCTTTTCCCAGCTTGCCTGGAGAAACACCCATAGAGTCTCTGTTTTCATTCTGAGCCCTCCTAAAGGGTTGCAGTATCTTTTATGTATCAGGTTTTTCAAATTTTACAAGGCCACTCGAATATCTGAGGTCTTTATGAGAGATCGACCTTGGAGGTGGCTGCAATTGCGGAGCAGTGGGGAAGAGCCCTCGAGGGGCACCACACAACCTCAATCTGTGTCCGGCGTGGCTGTATTCAATTTAAGGTGCGGCATCGCCTTAAATTCTCAAAAGTCAAACTCTCTAAAATGCTCCCAGATGTTGATTCCACTTGTGACAGGCGCAGACTGTCTCCTGCATCCTTAGCACCATCACTCTAGCTGTGTCCGAATTTGAACTCCAAAACACTATCGGATATTCTTAAAATGAAAACGCACCCAGATCCTTTGACAGCTAGCACAGCAGTAGAAGGAAATAAGAATCTTTCAGGATCCAAACTCAAAAAAAAATTGTCACTTAATTCCAGAATTCCAGTGGTTGAGGGAAATGATGCAACATCTCAAGCTTGAAAAACTAAGATTCTCATTAAATGGCTCTTCTGTTAAATTTATTAGAATCTGGAATCTATTTTTGGAATATATAAAAGCTAGACTCTAAACCCCCACCTTGTTGATAACTCCATGTCATGTAAGTCACATTTACTTATGTATTTATACATCTTGCTGTAGCTGATCATAATAAGACAGGCCTTGATTATTATCTTCTGCTCCTTCAACGGTTCTGTATGTATGTAGGTATCTATGTGTGTGTATCTGTGCATATGTATACATGGGTATGTGCTTTTGTATTCAACGGTATTTTCTTTTGTAATGCTCTATAGCAGTTTAGAAACAATAAAAATATGTTTAAAAAAAGTCTTGCCCACACATATCCACCACCACAGACAGCCTAATGCAGCTGTACGCTCACCCGATGCCAGCTCCCAGCTCCAGCATTCTGGCTCCATCCAGGCAGGGCAGCATGGACAGGATCTCGGGCAGCTCGTGTCGGGTCAGCTCCTTGGCACGAGAGTCCAGCATCATCTCCTCCACTGTGGCGGCCTTGGAGTGCTCCTTCCAAAACTCTGTCATGTTGGTGCGAGCTGTGAAGCACAAGAGTGTCCAGATTAGATCAGCAAAAGAACTGTGAGACACAAATAAACAAACTATAACAATATTTGTTATTACAGAGGGATGATGACTAAGAAGACGATTCCTTTTACTTTATTACTTTATGAAATCTCTTTTTTTTAAGCAGGAATATTCCCATTGAGGCTGAATATCTCTTTTGCAAGGGAGCCCTGGCCAAGACAGCCATGTAAAAGTTTCACGTAAGAACAAACAGACTAAAAACACAACAGCATAAAAACTTCACATTCAAAAACAGCCAGTTGTGTATAACTCTTATACCGCTTGTTCGAACAAAAAGGGAACACGACAACTACTGCATCTAGAATATGTGGCAAAGTTCAAGTACCCCTGCCTGTCAATCATCTATAACACTGTCCAAAAAACAAAAACAAGCATTCAATATGCTCATCTCATCACTTATATCTGACATAAAATATGCAACCAAACAGTTTTTTAAAGACAAAACAGAGTCATCTTATTTTAAATATTCACACATACACATTAATTAAATTTAAAAGTGACATTTACAGAGATGTGTGTTCATACATAACTTTTGACCTAAAATTCTCACAGACAGATTAACCATTAGTCAAAGCTGATTACAACATTCACTGATGTGGCACAACCACAGTTAAAATGCTGAGTAGATTTCCCCAGAATTCAGATTGCTCTATATCTAAGATGTTTTGCAGCTTTTGGAGGAGGCCTGAGGCTGTGCAGTATTTACATTTGTGACACAACAGGTTTTACTAGCTTAGTGAAAAAGATGCTATGCATAATGAGCTGTGGTAAACAAAACACTGATCTTGAACTTAAGGAGACGTAGTGATACCACAGTGTAGAAAGTTTACAGCGAGAAGTTTTGCACTCAAAATTGTACTTAAGTTAAGCGCAAAAGTAGTAGCATCAAAATTAACTTGAAGTACTACAAGTAAAAGTACTAATATTCCATATTATTATCATTATCATTATTATTATTGCTTCTGGTCAAGGTGAAGGTCGTTTTAATTACTTCATATACTGCTCGGCAGTTTCTGAATTTCTCCCCTGATGATCAATAAAGTTTCATTTTGCACTACAAATTACATCATAATCTATTTGTTGATTATATTTTATATTATTAATATGAAAAGTAACAAAAGCTGTCAGACAAATGTAGCTGAGTAAAAAGTGTCATATTTCCCTTTGAGATGTGGAGCAGAAGAATGAAGTAGCAGAAAATATAAATACTCAAGTACAAGTGCCTCAGATTTGTACCTATAGGTACAGTACCTGAGTAAACATACTTAGTTACTTTTCACCACTGATCACATGGTAACTGTAAATATAGCATCTACAACAACAACAACAAAAGCCCAAAATGTAATTTATCAACTTTAAAGAAAGCCTTTGGTTGGTAATATCTACCAGCAGATAACCTTCAGGACATGTTGCAATAATGTACTGGCAGTTAATAAAAACTGTGGTCACTATAGCCTGATATTAAAAGCAGCAACAACAAAAAATTACAGCATTATTTAACTTAAAAACACAACTTTTTTCTCCTCTTAACTTTCTCTGCTCTTCTATTGATCTACACTCAAAGACACCCCATAAATCATGCTTTTGCTTAGCTACCAGCAGCACCGCATATTGTGGTCACTAACCTCCAATCCTCCAGTAAAAAGATGATAACTGAGGTAAATATGTCTTCATAGTCCGCTGCCTGGTTACACACTAAACACTAGAATAACTGCAGGTTAACATGCTACGGTGATCAACTGACAGCTGAAAAATCAGTCAAACCACTGACACATTCCTGCCCAGTGTTCACAGAGGGATTACTTCCACCAGCTGAGTGAACAATGTGCACAAAACAACGTGTGGCTGCTCCAACAAAGTCCAAACATCAGTGGCATCAGGCTTAAAGACACGAGTCTTCACTTCAGTAAAATAATCCACATCTACTCTGCTCATACCTTTTTCCATGGTGGTCTTTGGTTGATTTTAACTTATTGCAAAATGACTCAACAATTTCAGTGTAGTCTGGAAATTAAAGATCAATTATATGAGGGTTACTATGAGTAACACCTCTTTAACAGAGTGCAGGTTTCAGTGTGAGTGCGCTCTTTAAATAACGGGACGCGTGGAGGAGATGGTCGCCAGGTGGAAAACTGACCATTAGGATGTGCCCGACATGAGATGAGGGGAGGGGAGGGGAGGGGAGTGCTCCTGAATAATGAAATAGGAACAAGGGTCTGCGCACTATCAGAGGCACCTTTATGGACGTGGTTCCCCTGACAGCGTGCATGCATCATAAACCCCATTTAAAGCCCTGAGAGTGTTGTCAGCCACCAGATTAATCAGTATGTCAATGATGCAAACTCACGCTGGTTTATGTTGAATGGTGAAGTGGTGTGTGTCCCAGCGACAGTCTCCCCTCACCGGCTCACCGTGCCTCAGTTGTGCTGACAAGCAGGAAATGTCCCGTGGTATTCACTGATTGCGCAACATTGCCTCATGGTGCAGCTGGAAACCTGAGTGCTGTTAAGGTGGAGAGCGGTAAATACTGAGCAGCCCTGACAATACATGTTCAACTATATAACCTATCATGTTACAGTGACATTTTTAAAATAGACCTAAACAGGATAATGCAACACAACTGACTTATTTATCGCATTTATGTATATATCTTAGTTTGTTATAATGATCCTTGTCCTGTATTATGATTAGGACTCAAAATAAGGACATGTGTGTGAGAGGTGGCGCTGGCTTTATTTCCAGACTTTACTAATTTACACAATCCATATATGCAGGTTGTGACTGGAGAAGTACAAGTGTGTGGCAGCCACCACAATGTCTCCATATATTATACATATAATGATGTCTCTCACATTTGATTTCTACAATTTGGCTTTAATTCACCACCTCACCATCTGAGTCGCCAATTTCCCTCGTCTCCAAAATGTTTCCTTACAGATGCGAACATTCTCCCATCAAAGTTCTTCTTCATGAATCCCAATTTATACTTAGAAAGTGGGTACACAATGGTTACAAATGAGGCCCCTGGTCTGTTTGTTTCAGAGAGGAGGAGACCTCTGCGGATAATTTTGCGCCTGGTAAAAACCTCCTGAACAATGAAAGCTTAGGGAATCCTGAGCTGGAGTTCATGCTTGGCACATGGGAGAAGTTTCAGCTGGTTGCAATCTGCAGTCGTCACCACTAGGTGCCACTAAATCCCACACACTGTTCCTTTAAGTCTGCAGTATAAGTTATTAAAAAAGTTAATAAAATATCTAAAGTTACAGAGATAAATAAAGTCATTAAAACAGAGCCATGAGTTTTTCTAATAAGCCATCAGGAAAATTAGAAAGTCAGTTATAGATATTAAGAAGTCGTCATTCATAATGACGTTTCACAAAATTTCATCAAGTCTTTTCAATATTTTCTTAATGACATTACTACTTAAAGGTACACTATGCAGGACTGTAAATTACTGCGGGTGTGAAAGTTAAGTCAACCCCAGATTCACTCTCGTTTGGCATTTGGCCTCAGTGTATTTGTGTTTATTTGGCCTTGTGTCTTATGGATGCTTGCTGTTTACAGTCTGGCACCTGGTCTACCTTAAGTCTCAAAATCACCTGAGGCCATGAGACTACACGCCCATAAACATCCCCAACACAGAAAATAAGAAGACAATAATACAGGCATACGGCTCAGTCTCTGCCAACAGAAAAAAAATACACCACCACTAGGGGTGTAATACTCGAATTCCTACTGAACCGTTCAGCGCGAGGCTGTCAGTTCGGTGTGCATTACGCACGGAATGATACCGTGAACTAACCTATTACATTTGGAAACTAAAATATACAGCTTTAACGGTGTTGCTAAAATATTCTCATTGCCACTGCCTCAACAAGGCAGCCGGAAACATGTCTGTCCCTCCCAACCCCAAACCAAAATATCCTACTGCAGTCAAACACACTGGGAGGCAGCTACCTGAGCTAGCTTACTGCAACATGGTTAGTATGATGGGTCAGAGTTTCCCTGATGATGTCACACTGTGAACAACGAATCACTGTTAAAATCAACAGGAGCAGAGCTAGTTAGTTAGCTCTAAGCAGTCTGTGACCACAACTGACGGATTTTGTACTGAGTTACATCATGATATGTTTGAGCTCTGTTCAGTAAAAAAAATCAAGTATTGGCCAAGGGTAAATTATAAGATTCTCAGGATGTGTTCATGTAATCTTGTAAATGTAGCTTTTAGTGAGAAACCTGAATAAATACAGCTGAAGGAGAACTTCAGCAATATAACATATATATTAGAGGGGGAATTATTATATGGCCTGTAATATGTAGCAAAAGACTCGTGAAACAGTTTTTAAAAAGATGTTTTTCATATGAAACGTTATATTAGAGGTTGTTTCATAAATGTGTGTGACTGAATTTGAATTCATACAACGGAAGTGTAATGAAACTCATATTTTATAAGGAGCTGTTTTTGTTTGTGCTGTAAGAAGATGCCCGAGCACATGGGTCACTCAGGTATAGCTCCATTACTGTTCCTAGTCTAAAAATATCCTTCTTTATGATGTTAGATTAAATAAGTAAATGATTTTTTTATTTCTGTAAAAATATTAATTTGAAAATCAAGGAAATTTCTCTAGCATTTCTGCTTTTTTTTTTTCTGTATCAGTCTAAACATTATTTTTTAGGAAAATCCTGCATCGTAAGGGGCTGTGAGAAATTCAGAATGTACCGGCGGCTATCAACCAATGATGCTAACTCCATATACAGTGCTAAACAACAGCAGTAGTGCCGACAGAGCTAGCAGTGTTCTCATATCAGTAGTAGCTGGCGTGTGAGCACAGAGCAGAGTGAGGTTGATGAGCTAGCCAGTGGAATACAAGCATTTACTGACATGCATGTGCAGCCAGACCAACTCAGCACCACAAACCACCAAAGTTCAGATTACAACACACAGAGGTAGTGTGACTTCATTCTCTGCTCAGGACACCATTACTCCACCATATCTTTACATGACAAATAGTGGTTTGCTGCTATATTAATGCTCTGAATGTCGTATACAGAACCCCTAATAAATGGATTTTGGTGCCCTACAGTAACAAAATCGGATAAATAAATAAGATAAAAATCCAACACTTAAGTTGTAAAGTTGATCCCAATAACGGCTTATAACAAATTTCTAATACTCTATTATTACCATTAGTAAGAGAATTATTTGTCATTGTGACTTATTAGAAAATGGTACTAAAATTGTTTGTGCAGCAGGAGTACTGAGATGAGTTTCAGTAGTTTGATGGAGGGATCACTGGAGGTGAATTGTTGATGCACAGGTAGTGGAAAGATCTCACATCCCTGAAGGTTGTCAGTGCCTTCACCACAGCTTCACCTGCTGGAGTCGGTGAGCTGTGGGCGCCTTGGGTTTATCATTCCTGCAGCACAACACATTCAGGTTGTCAGGCAGCTCTCTGCAGTGTGAGTAGGTGGTTTCCTGTAGCCGACACCGAAGCACACTGACAATGCAACTATGAGCTGCACTATAAAACATCACCAGTGAGTCTTTATCCCGACTTCCGCAGGCCTCTTCCTTGACCTGGTGATGCTGCCCGAGTTTGACTTTGATGTGTCACTGTTGTATTTCTGCCAAGTTTTGCTGGGAACAGATAAAAATGGACCAAGCAAGTGTACAGAGACTGCCTGCAGAGTGTCTTGGTGTACTTCCAAACAAACTTTGGGGTGGTTCGATTTTGGAGAGCCAACCACAAGATTGACCTATGATAGTTCGAAAGGTACCCTGGGCTTTTGACCTCCTACAGTGCTAAGGAGAAATATTTTCAAGAGCCGTGAAAGAATGCCTCTGTATTCTTAACCTAATCCTCTCTTGATAAGCCATGGTAATGACATGGAACAGATAATTTTGTGTTGAGCTATTTCACCAAAGTTAAAGGGACAGCTTGGATCTTTTGAAGTGAGGTTGTATGAGGTACGTATCCACAGTCCTAGTTCAAGCAATATTTAGAATATTTTCATCACATTGCCTTGCCGTCAGCCCTTTCTGACAGGGAACGGAATTTTAACCCTGCAAAACAAGTGACATTCTGGTCTACAACTGCCTTGACTGGTTAGCTTGTTTGTGTTCTAGTGTGACTTTGATGAATCTGAACCAACCCTTTAACACACGAAAGTCACACAATAACACAAACAAACTTATAATTGAGGCAGTGGTAGACCAGCAGCTCCTGTGTTCTGTGAGGTAAAATTGCTGTTTTTGTTAATGGAGTCTGGCTTTAAAAAGTGCATGAACACAATTCAGTTTTAGTTCAGTTCCCCTGACAAAAAGGGCTGTCTGACAGCAAGGTAAAAAGGTAAAAATATTCTAAATATAGCATACTTTTAAAGTGATATTTATTTATATTTAAAGTGGCTAAAATATGTTTATTTTTGCTTATCTTCCAAGGTGGTACTCGTGCCTGCTTCTCCAAACTGAGGGCATTCTGACCACCTTCTACTGTATAGGTAATACTCTGACTATGGATGAGTCCCTCATACATCCCCACTTCAAAAAATCTGAACTATCCCTTTAATTTCAATATCATATTCAAACTTCACATTCATTCTGATAAAGGCATTTTAATTTCAGCTCAAATGAGTTGAAGGAAATGACCACTTTAGAATGAAAATACAGACAGTACTTAGTCCAGTGTAGTTTTTTAATCCACAAAACTAATTCGAGACTCGAGAATGTTCAGAGACATTTTTGTTCTCGAGTCTCATGTGAGTTGCCATGTAAACACAGCACTCCTGCGGGGCAGGCTAACTGACCACGGTGAGAAATTATGCTGTAAAAGTGGAGTAAATTATGTCTTTTCAAGTCAATTTTGCATGCCGCAACTTCAGGACACATGGATTACGACGGATGAGCTGTTCTGACGTTTTTGAAATGCATTAGCGGAGTTTTATTACATTTTCAAAATGATTTTGGACGTGGGTTCCATGCACTTTTTAGTGTATGGAAAAATCTGGCTAGCTGTTATCCTCCGATACCCCGAACAAGTTTTGTGGATTAAAAAACTACACTGGACTTCTTGTCAGCATGAGGGTCAGTAAGT